AGACTCAGCAGACAGCTCTGTAGGGAATGCCTGTCCTCAAGAAATTGATGGGAAAAGAATCCATTGTGTGGGAACATCCCTAGCAGAATGAACGGTGTAGACGACGTAGTGACCAAGAGGAATCTCAAGGGAAAACTTCAGCATGAAGCGCAGCGAGCCTTTGTGTAGTGCTGCCATCATTACATTAGCCTCCACCACGAAAATGAAGCCTTCTGTGCAATTAACATAGCTGGTTATCCTTTTAACTGTTTTATGTTGACTTCAGTTGCGGGGGGGTCACTGTTACATCTCCATACAGTCTCACCCCTCCATCACCCTCCATCCCTCTTTCCCACCAAACAGCACCCCAACAGGTTTTCTTGTTAGGCTTTCATAGTTACGAATAATCTGTTTCAAAGATATTCAACTTCCTTTATCCTCCCCATAAAATAGCTAGTCTTTATTCCTGTTTTTATGCCTTTAGTTTTACTTCATGGGTGCCCCATTTATTTAAGACATAGCAAAATTAAAATTAAAAATATATTTGCAGTTACATCACCTTTACAGTAATAGATATATAACTTTTTTTTTTTTTTTTTTTTGCCAGTCCTGGGGCTTGAACTCAGGGTCTGGACACTATCCCTGCACTTCCTTTTGCTTAAGGCTAGCTCTACCACTTGAGCCACAGCACCTCTTCCAGCTTTTTCTGTATATGTGGTATTGAGGAATGGATTCATGCATGCTAGGCAGACATTCTACCACTAAGCCACCTTCCCAGACACATACACACACGCACGCACGCACACACGCACACACACACACACACACACATCTTTGCAGTTAACTATTTCAGCTGAGAAATAGCTACTGTTGTCCATTGCTGACAGCCAATAAGCAGCCAAGTCTGTCCTCACCATTAACAATGTGTAAAGTGAGCAGTTAGACTTAGTCATAGTTAATTACATAGCAAATGTAGACAGCAAAACACAGACACAACAAACTGTGGAGTCCATAGTTTAAATTTTTTTTTTTTTTTTTAATGTCAGTCCTGGGGCTTGAACTCTGGGCCTGGGCGCTGTCCCTCAGCTTAAGGTAGCATTTTACCACTTGAGCCACAGCGCCACTTCTGGTTTTCTGTGTGATTTTTTTTTTTTTTTTTTTTTAGAGATAAGAGTTTCACTGACATTCCTGCCCGGGCTGGCTTTGAACTGAGATCCTCAGATCTCAGCCTCTTGAGTAGCTAGGATGACAGGCGTGAGCCACCAGCACCTGGCTTATTTCAAAACCTTCCCCCGCCTCCCCCAGCACTAGGGTTTGAACTTAGACCTGTACTTGTTAGGTAGACGTACCACCACTTGAACTAGGTCTCCAGCCCTTTTTGCTTTTGCTATGTATTGATTAGGGTCCTGAGTTTATGCCCCATCTACATCAAACTTTGATCTTCCTGTTTATCTTGGCTAACTTGGGTGACTGGCACACACCACTATGCCCAGCATTTTGTTGGTTGGTAGGGATCTAAGCCACCTCTCCCTTTTCCCCCACTGCTGATCCTTTCTGTGAACCTCTTTATCTCCATCTCCCGAGTGTCTGGGATTAAAGGCACAAACCACAGTGCCTGGCTTTTAAATTTTATTTTGTTATTAACATAATTTCTTGCGTTGGAATGAATATAAATATGGATGGGGTACAGTGTGATGTTTTCACACATAGGTACCACCTCTGTTGATCATGTCAGGGTAATTAGGGTTCCTCTCTGTCCATAGTTTTTCCAGTAGAAACGCTGACATCATTCATACCTGCCCCCTTGTGTGGTTTTTGGAGGGTCTGTGGTGGGCGAATGTCTTGATTGACAGACTGGCAGTACCCACAGGTGAAAGCTGCCCTGGGGGTTCAGCTTCCAGAAGGAGAGATGGGTGCTCAAGCAAACCAAATATTTAAAATATCTAGGAAGTTGCTGGAAGAGTGCTGAGCAGTGAAGCAAGCCAGGAAGTGGGCAGGGGGTGCTGTAAGGTGTGACTTGGTGGCGCTGTGTGATGGATTGGTGCAGAGCAGGAGCTGGGTAAGGGGCCTCCTGATGTCTGGCTGTCAGAGCCCAAGCTGGGCTGGGCCCGAGGGGTTGAGGGGGTGCGGGGGAGGGCAATGGATAGGCCCAGTGGGTGAGCAGGGAAGAGGTCCAAGCTGCTCCACACCCAGCAGCAGCTGCCCGCAGGGAAGCCACCAGAGGCCCAGCACCAAGCCCTGGGACCCCCCAGCAGAGATGGGGACAGTGGCCTGGGATAGCTGGTTGGAAGAGCCAAGTCCGCAGGAAGCCCAGAGAAGGGACACGAGAGCACTGGGGCTGGAGCTGTCTTGCTGGGGCAGGGGAAGGAAGAAAGACAGTGAATGGGAAGTATGGGCTCTGGGACGTGTGAGGAGAGCGGAGCAGGGGTGACCTGAAGAGGAGCAGAATGGGGGCTGGAGCGGAGGCAGAGGTAGGGAGGCCGCACCTCACCACTCCAGATAGACTGCAGCAGAGGAGGGACCTGGGAGGCAGAGAAAGCACCATGGCCAGTGGAACCAGGGAGGGTGAGGTAGAGAAGGGGGACTCGGGGTGGAGAGGAGTGCGGCCCGGGGAGGCTCCAGTGCTCCTGTCTGCAGCCCTACAGCCAGGTGGGCCTGGCCAGGCGGCGGGGGTGGGGGCAGTGCTGGCACACTCACTGTGATTTGACTCCCTTGGCCTGGCCCGCACCTGCTCACTCCTCACCAGTCTGCTCCAGAGAAGCAGCCTCACAGGCAAATCGAATAAACCAAGGCTGCTCATGGAAAAGGAAACAGTCCGAGAGGGTGGGGCAGGAGGGTGTCCCTTCTTGCTCTCTGCCTTCTTCCTTAAGTTTGGAATGTGCCATTCCAGACCGTGCGTTTACACAGACCTACCAAGATGCATGCATGCAGTTACTAGGGAAAGAATTGGCATCAGTTATGTATACTTCTCTGGAACTTTCCACATGTGCTCCTTGCTGTTGGTGTATTCTGGACATCTTCCCATCGTGGTTCGTGTGATTAAACCGCTCTCATTTCATGGTGAAGACTGGTGTTTCACCACATGGCTGTTCTGGCAAGCATCAAGTCTTCTCCCTGGGCTGGTTGGGTGCTCCTTGCTCCATGTGCACCCTGGGAGACACAGAGTTCTAGATGGTAATGCAGAACAAGTCTTTATTGAACATTAATGTTAGTCCAGCTGTTTTATTATATTAGGACTGGACTATCCCCAGGACTTCTGAGAAACAGCAAACTTAATTTGCCAAAATGGCAACCGCATGCTTTGCTCTGTTCCAGTTTTCTTGGGCTTGTTGCCCTAGTTTTTTCTATCGAAAGCTTCACTGTTAGCAGAGTTTTAAAGGGCTCTTTATCCTGGCGACAGAAGCATTTGAGTAAACAACTTGGATAGCGAATGGCGGTGCCCTCATTTGGAAGATGTTAGGATTCAGGGTTTTATGATGAATTCAGGGTATTTTCCTAAGCCACTCCACGGCTTTTAGAAACCAGGAAAAAATTTCAATTTGGCATTTCAAAGCCATCCCTGTTTCCACTGGTCTCTATGAGGTAGACATTTAACGGGGAAGCTGTGGCTTTGGGGGTCCTCTGGGAATGGGCTTCAGTGCCAAAATAAAGTGGTTTTAAACCAGGTGGTTGGCTATTGTTCTTTCCTATGAGGAAGTCCAGGGTGGGCAGCTTTAGAGACAATAGTTCATTAGTCTGAGGAGCTTGAGCCCTTGGCTCCTGACTCTGGGTCCTGGTCTCACCCTCTCTCACCCCAGGCCTGGCACCGGCAGATGCAGGGTATGAAGGACAAAAGGCCAAAGCACAGGTCACTTCTCTTGAGGTTTCCCAAGGTTCTAAGCTGGGGGCTCCTTGGCTAGACCTTAGCCTCAGCTTTTTGCAAGGAAGGCTGGGAAGGCAAGTCTGTCTGGTGTCATCTTCCCTACACAGGGCTCTGTGCTGAGCAGAGGGTAAATAGATTCTACCAGGTAGCCAGTGATGTCTAGTGGTATGCAACCTCAAAAACTACCAAGTTTTGCCTGTTTCGCTTTTTCCTAGAAAACGTCTAGAATGCTTTTCCACTTGTTTGAATTATTAGGTCCGAAAACATCCTGTGACCAGATTTAATGTCTTAAAACCACCAATGAAGAGTTCAGAGGGGCAGCATCTTCACATCAAAGACTACTGCGTTTATTAAGAACTTGAGCCTTTTGTTAAAGTTCTTTTGCTTTGCTTCTTGGTTTGCCTGGACTTGGTGCATATGTAGCCTTGTCTTTCAAAGGATCACCGGTCAGCTTGTCCTCAGAGGTCCTGGTCAGAGGACACAGGTTGGCAGGGGCATGTCAGGCCCAGAGGCTTTTCTGTGACCCTAGGCCTGGCGTACTTCCCCAGACCAGTGGTTGAGGACAGTCTCTGCATAGGTCAAAGCTGGAATGGAGACATCTTCCATCACCCCTGCCCTGACGTGTTCTTGTTGAACATTCTGAAATGGTGATAAATGCAGATGATAAAAGTACACAAAAGCTAGGAAGGTGGCTTAGTGGAAGAGAGCTTGCTTAGCATGCATGAAGCCCTGGGTTCGATTCCTCAGTATCACATACACAGAAAAAGCCGGAAGTGGCGCTGTGGCTCAAGTGGTAGAATGCTAGCCTTGAGCAAAAGAAGCTCAGGCACAGTGCCCAGGCCCTGAGTTCAAGCCCCAGGAATGTCAAAAAGAAAAAAAAAAGGCCTAATATTATTAAAAAGATGTGGGAAAACTAGAAGCTGTCAGGTGTGGGCTGGTCTAGACATTAAGGAAATGGCCACTAGTAATACCTCTGAGTGGCTTCTTCATTATCATAGGCACTAACCGTTTATGGCACAAAGAGCTCTGTGTTAAGAGCCTGCAGACACTTGGCTCTTTCTGGGCGTGCAGGACTACCGAGCGCACAGCTCTTGTTCTCAGGGCCACACGCCACGCGTATGATGGCTGACCTCCCTCTTCCCTCCCTCTTGTTTTGTAGCCTCCCTGTGAACTGGATTCTTGCTTAGTAGGCCTGCCCCTCTTTTCGTTGTCTGGATGATGTCCGAGCAGGACCTGGCGGATGTGGTTCAGATTGCCGTGGAAGACCTGAGTCCTGACCATCCAGGTACAGAGCTGTGGGACAGTAGGTGAACTATTATTATTCTCTTTGTACCTTAAAACCTAAAAGCTACTACAATTGTTTTCTTTCCTTTTTGCAGACGCAGATGATGCCTGTTCTGTATGAAATGTGAATCATAGATTGGTTTCTTTTCTTCATCCTTCTGGCTAGGCCCTCAGATCTCTGCACAGCTGTGCAGCCGTTCGGCAGCTCCCTTCCTGGGTGCCCTGGCACCTGTCAGTCATGCTCTCTGTGGTCAGGAACATATCCTCTCTCATGGTCCTGCATTTCTTAAATGTTATACCTTGCTAGTTTACAACCTCCCCTGTATAACACTAAATATTATGGTGGACCATGCTAATTGTCCCGTGTTCATATGGGCAAACCTAATTATATTTAGTAACTATGTGGCATTCTATTTATAGACCTTCTCTAATTTATGGCCCTCTCTCACGTGGTAGCCATGGCCATGTTTTGCACACTCTCCCACATACAGTGAGGTGATAAGGATCTTTGCACATACAGGTTGGCTTGTTTGTTGTTTTTTTGGAAACAGGGTCTCTAGTCCAGGCCGAGTTCCGCCTCCACCTCTGACTGTTGGGGTTGTAGGTGTGGGTCACCACGCCTGACTTGGTAAAGATTTTTGTAGGGTAAATTCCGAGAAGCACGTGTAACATTTTATGGATGTTTAACAAGTTGATAAGATGTTGGCGAATGTGCCAGAAACGTTTCATTAACTCATTTGTCTGCTGTGCTTGGAAACAACTTTCCCCTTCACCTCTGTTAAGGCTGGCACTTTTCTTTATGTTAAACACACAAGATATACTTTGAAACTAAATATTTATTTCAAGGAGACTCTTTGGAAGTAAACTTCTGAGTCTCAAAATTTCAGGAAATTCATCTGTGAAACAACTTTGTCTACATTTATTATTTTCTAACGATTTCTTAACAAGGTCTCTTTGTTTTGCTGGAGTGTCTGATATATTGTTTGGTTCTGTGTGAATGGGAAGTGCACACAAGTCTCAGAGAATTTGGTTATTTTTTCAGGAATGGTAAAATTGAAAACAGAAGTCTCATAAGAAGCTAATTCTCATTTGTGTGATATCTTAGTACGTTAGCTGCAAATGCCACGTTTAGAACTTAGCTATGGTATAGAAAAGGAGAGCGGCTGAAGTAATTTTGGAAGGACAGCCATAAAAAATACACAGGACCACTGTCCTTCAGTCATTTTATGTTGCTTCCAAGTTGTTTATAAGAAGTTCTGCCATGTGCATAACAATGTAAGAATGGTCTGTTCATATTTTAGTGAGTAATTGACAATTTTTTTTAGAAAACATATTGCAATGCTGTAAAAGAAAAATGTTCCAACACCCTAAGTTTTAGATATTAGACATTTTAGATACTAAGGTTCAGACAGAGAAGGAGAGCTGTGGTTTAGGTGCCAAGGACACACATTGTTCCTTTCCATAGTTATGAAGGAAGTGGTTGTGTGGCTCTGGACAAGCCACCAAGCCTCTCTGGATGGGTGTCCATTCTGCAAGTTGAAAGGCTAAATAGCAGTCACCAGGGCCTCTGCTTCCCCAGTTCCAGGATGGTCATCACTTTGCAAGTGGCATTAAGGAGGCCCCACAAGGGCTGGGGAACCTGCAATAGGCCGGCACTGCAGGCTTGGGCTTGGGCTTGGGTTCAGGGAGTGTGGGTGAGCAGGCTGAGGTGGGCTGATGGGGGGCCGCTGCTCCCTGGAGCTGCAGCAGAGTGCCAAGAGGCTGCGTACCTCTCCCTGTCAGACTCGCTGCAGCTGCTCAGTGTCGCATCCAGCTGCTTATGTTGCAGTTTAGAGTGAGGAAATGAATCATCTCACATGCTGTGCCTTTCTTTCCCCTCTGAGATCTTGTTTGGGTTGTGGCTCAGTCAGCTGCTCTGACTGAGGTGGGGCCAGAGGTCATGGAGACTGTGCACTCAGCTTCCCCGTGCGGCTGTGTGTGGAGGAGCAGTCTGCTCTGGGGTGGTGCGGGGATTGCTGGTGGCACAGGGCAAGCACGTGTGAGTTCCTGCTCTTTGGAGGAATGGCTTCTTAACCAAGATGGCCTCTGGATGGGACATCTGTGTCCCCAGTGGAGGTGATTGGTGGAAAGAGGGGGGATCATGGCCAATTAGCGTGCTGGAGGCGGGGCACACCATTGGCTCATCTCTCTGACTGCAATAGGGGTGCATTTGAGAGCATGTGGAGGAATGCAAAGTGCATGGCTCTGTAGGTTGCTGGTCTTGTCCTACCCAGAATACTAGAGTAAACATACTTGTGTTCCTACAGACATACTTAATACACTTGCTGCCTATATGTGCCTGTGGAACGTGTTCCTGCATACTGCCATGTGCTAGTATTGAAAGTGAGTTAAAGCCATTAACCTATGAATAGCTGAGGGAGGAGGAATGGTGCAGACAGACTTGCCCGAGGGTTAGGTGGCCTGTTGTACCTCTCCTGGCAAGCCTGTAACACGTTAGGTAGAAGATGTAGAACAAGGGAGGAGAAGAGCACCAGTAGAGAGAGTCAGGGATCCAGGCAAGGAGTTGGAGTGAAGTGTCAGCGACTCAGCAGTGCCACCCCTCTGCAGTTGCAAGGCTGTAAGTTTGTAAAGACAAAGGAGGGATGGGAAGGGTGGGACTGGCACACTCAGAACTGGGCTTTGCAGCCGTGAGATGGCCGCGGGCAACGGTAACCTCTGGCTCTTTTTTATCCTTTTTTCTGTCAAAGACTGGGCCTTGAACTCGGTGTCTGGTGCTGGCTCTCACTCATTGGCTGGTGCTCTCTGACGTGAGCCAAGCGTTCAACCCCCCTGTGATCTTTGGATCCTGGTTTGGAGTCGATTGTAGATGAGAGAAGGAAGTTGGGATGGGATCATGGCAGGCCTGGAATACGGGTTGCTTTGCTTCTCTGGGGCAGGCCATGAAGGTCTGTGGAATCTTCCTGCGGGAAGCTGCTGACCGCAGCTGAGCCGTGAGGCAGCTTCTGCAGAACTCACTCCGCATGTTGGGGCTGAGCCCTTTGGATTACCCACACCTGAACACATGTGGCATGCAGAGGGTGCTATCTTCCCACTGTGCTGGGGGTGAACACTGGATCTGGCCCTATGCAAGGGTTCTACCACTTGGCTACTTCCCAAGCTACAGGGCAGCTTTGATTTCAAGTTGGGGGGTGAGGCTCTGCCGTGATGTGCAACGTGCTCATTAAAACATGCGTTGGCATGGGGACACACGTTTGAGTGTTAACGAGATGAAATAAGAGATAGATTGCACCTCTCTCATTCAGTACTCATTGTCTTACTTGCTGTCTTAAAAATATTATTTAAGTAGCTTTCAAAGGAGTTACTAGTCAAGAGATCAGTTTATAAGTATATTGCCTTGTGATTAATGTCATTCCATTAATCATTCTCCCCCATCCCTCCCAATCCAACCCCTCTCCTCAGTTTTCTTAGTTTCATAGGATATGCATTGAATATTGTGACTTCATTCCCTTCCCCTTCCTGTCTTTATTCTCTATTCCCCTCCGCTTGACCCACACCTTTCAAGTACCAGCTTCCTGGTATTCATTTTGTTGGACTGTGAGTTTTTCTAAGGAATTATACCATTTGAATTCTCCCCTGCAAATACCATATTTTGGTTAATTCATTTGTATATTGCACACAATCCTGAATGTGTTTATTTGCTGCCTTAATGGTAGAAGAATTCAGAGAAAGTTTTCAGGTTAAACTCTAATTTTCTGTCTCTACTATTGGTTTTCAGTTGTTTTAGAGAATCATGTAGTGACAGATGAAGACGAACCTGCTTTGAAACGTCAGCGCCTAGAAATCAATTGTCAGGACCCCTCTATAAAGGTAATACGATGAAGGCATGTGTTCTGTAGCTGAGTTTTCTCCCATGGACTGGGGGGCTCTGAGGGCAATAGAAAGTTACTCACCAGCTGTTCTAGAGGTTGGAACTCCAAAGTCCAGGCGTGACTGTGCTGTAGGCCTTCAAACCCCCCCCCCCCCCCCCGCCCCCAACACTGCAGTCTGTGTCCAGGCCTGGGCGACCTGACCAAGTACATCTGCAAAAGAGTTTCTCTAGGTAGTGTTAGGGTGAGGTGCTGCAAATGGGTTGTCTTCCTATGGTCGCACGGCCCTCCATAGTGGGGAAGAAGGCGAGTGGTCACCTGTTGCCCACTTCTGTGAACTGTTTCGGGGTAATCCTGAAGTTTGCTAGCTGGGGTTCTCAGACTCAGTCAGTCAGTGGGTTATTTTCAGACCTTTTATTTGTGTGTTTGGTTCCAGTTCTGTAGAGTCAGAGATAAACACCAGCACAGGGGGGCTGATAGGAGCGGCACAAATGGAGCTCGCCCCCTCCTGGGCGTGCTCTGCTCACACAGTGTGTCTGCTAGTGCCGTCTGGGCCACTGCAGTGTGAGCTCACGCGAGTGGCTCTAAACGCTATGCACCAGCATACTTGTATGTGCTAATAAAAATCTTACGTATATGCCTCATGGTCAACCCTCTTTATGGGTGTCTTACACAGCAGAATTCCTTGCTGATTCATGGGTCTCCCCATGTGTTCCCAGTGGCTCCTGGCACGAATGCGACCGAGGGAATGGGCCAGGGTCTTTTCTTGGGTTTGAGTTGTGCACGTGGCTGTTGACTCCAAGTTGGCCATTGGGCTGGACTAGGCAATGATGATCAAACAGGAAGACATTCCTCCTGACAGCCACTAGGTGGCATGGTGGCGATTCAGAAGTTCCACTGGAAGGTCATTACAGATTTCAAAGTCAAGGCTTCTTTTCAGGGCAGCTGGGCATGGTGAGAATATGCAGAACCTTTGATTTTTAGGCTGTTTAGCTGTTACGTGTAATCTGTTTTCATCATTGGAAGTATTTTGTAGCTTTGTGTAAATTTGCTGATTGACACCATAACATATTAATAGATAATAGAAGCTGATGTGGATAAGCATAACTGAGGCTCGCCCTGCGTGTGGATGGGGCCTGGAGGGAGGCTTCTGGTTGTCACTGATGAGCCGGCACAGAGTAGGGACCTCTCTGCATGAGAGGAGTTGTTGAAGCTAAGGACCAGCTGCTCGCCCTCCTCAGAATTGTCTCCCTGCAGTGGAAGACACTTGGTGATACTTTTCTCTTTTCTTGCAGTCTTTCCTCTACTCCATTAACCAGACGATATGTCTGCGGTTGGATGGCATTGAGGCCAAGCTGCAAGCTCTGGAGGCAACTTGCAAGTCCTTGGAGGAGAAGCTGGACCTAGTGACCAACAAACAGCACAGCCCCATCCAGGTCCCCATGGTGGCAGGTTCACCACTTGGCGCCACTCAGACCTGCAACAAAGTGCGATGGTAAGGACAGAGGAGCCCCAGTTCTCAGAGGAGCCTTTAGAAAAAGCGCCCCAGGCTGGCTCAGGCCCTGCTGTGATGGATCGGCCATGGACATCCGCTTTCTGCCCCTGTGGTTCCATGGCAGGCTCCAGTTAGACTGAAACCAGACACAGGCTCCCTGCTGGAAGGACTTGAGTTGTTTCCACTTTCTATTTGACATGAGCCAGACCGAGGCATCTTTCCCATGCACCTGACCAAGTCTTGGCAGATTGCACTTGCTCCTTTTCTTTTTCCACCTCTCTTTGGCTGGTCTTCAGATATTTTTTTCCTTAAAATGTACTTGAGTATATCAGACTTTCCATTCAAGTCTGTAGCTTCTACTGTGCCTACTTGAAACGTGGAGAGGTCTTGTAGTTTCCACACTGAGTGGAAGCTTTGTGAACTGTTGGAGTGGAGCAGGGCCTCTGAAGGCCTTGGCCTGAGTGTTCATTCTACAGGCCACGGCAGCCTGCTGTGGGCGTGCTCAGGCTCAGGCTTGGGCGGTGACCGCAGGTCTGTCAAGAGGTCATCTCTGTGGCAGGGGGCAAGTCTGTGCATCTGAGGAGAGCTTGAAGCCCTTCTGCCAAGGGCTAGTCTCTTGAGTTCCCTGCAAGCCCTGGTCAACGGCCCTGTGCGACTGGAGGAGCGGCATGGTGTGCGAGCAGTGAGTGCCACCTCAGGCCAAAGGGACAGCAGTGACCTTACTGCCAGCAGTGGCCACTGGGGGCCACCCTGCCATGTGTGCTGGTGGCCAGAGCAGCACTGGGTGTTTAGTAGACTTTCAGGGCATTATGGGAAAGGGGAGTAGGGGTCCCTAGGGGATCTTGTGGATGCCGAGGGGGCCATCTGTCCTGCTGTGTCTGGGACAGCTTCCTGCAATGTCTGCTGTGCTGGTGCAGCTCACAGAACCTCCCTTAGGACTTATAAGCACACTGGGATGTTGGTGACTGCCTGGTCCTACTGTCACCTTCAGAGGGGAGGCGCAGGGAGGGGATCATCTGGGTGGAGGAGGTGGGCACCGGTCCCGTGCTCTGTATCTGTTCTGTGCTGTGCACCTCCCACTCCCACCCCTGGGCCAGACACTTGTCAATATGTGTTCAGGTCAGGCTTTCTATTAAGCTTGCAGACATACCCACCAATTGCTTTCATTAGGACAATTGCTTTTAAATACTCCCTATCCTAAAATGTAACATTTAGAGGGTGGTCTAACCGTGATGGAGAGGCGAGGTAAAGGGATAGTAGTGTGCGATACCATGCTGTGCCTCAGCGTGCAAGGGAGCCGCGTGCCAGTGGCTCACCGCTGGGGCCCTGTCTACCCAGGACATTGAGGGCGCTCGCTCAAAGCCAGCTTGGGCAGAGAAGTCTGCTAGATTTCATCTCCAAAACAGCCAGCCAGAGGCCGTGCTGGAAGCATGGCTCAAGTAGTCGTGCCAGCTCTGTTAGCAAGCCAAGTGCAAAGCCCTGCATTCAAATTCCAATACTTCCCATAAAACTGAAAAAACCAAGACCAAAACAACAAGCAAAACTCGTGCAAAACTTGCAGAGGTCAGCAGAGACTGAGGTCACGTGTTATTTCCTGGTGCAGGCTGACCAGGCATGGCTTGGGCTGCAGGTTTCTGCTGGTTGGTGGAGTGTTGAATGGTGAGCAGGTCTTTGTGTAGTTTCAAGGGAAGAAAAGTGCAATTTTTTCCTAGACGTTCCTGGAAAATTCAAACTGCAAGTTTAAACTACAAGAATGTTTTATATATTAATGTCATATGGAGTAAGGTTCGGAGTTCAGGACTTGGAAGCATTCTTTTCACTCCAGTGGATGCTGGTACTTTGGACATCTGTGAGGAAGGCTGTGTTAGCTGTGATTCTCAGCTTTGACCATGGCCTTGAGCTCCTGGGTCTGCAGACTCTTAGCACTCAGCCAGGTTTTTCCAAGTTAGTTCTCCAGGCCCTCCCACTGAGGATGATGGTCTTTGTTCTGCGAGCAGCTGCCTCACCCTTTGTTGCATCTCTGCTGTGTTTGGGACAGGCTGTTTGGAGGAGCGGGCCTCGTGGACAGCTCTTCTCACTTGGGCCTCTGGTGATCCAGTGCTGGGTCTGCGGGGTCTGGTGAGGTAGAGGTGACCGTGTCTAGGTTCCTTCTGTGTGGGAGCACAGGTCTCCAGCATCTCTGGCATCCAGGCTGGATCTGAGGCCAAGCCTTGTGTCATTTCAGGAATACACGGAAGGTGAAGAGGAGGATGAAAGGTGAAGAGGATGACTGGGTGTGTGACTCTCCGGTGGTTAGGTGCGTGGGGAGCTGTGCACAGGCGCCTTCGGAAAGTAGAGGCTTCGGCCTCATTCCAGGACTGCAGAGAGAGCAGTGTGATGTAAGAGCACAGAATCTTTGCTGTGTAAACACACGGAGAGGGGGAAGTGTGCGTCTTGTCGTGAGAAAATCTGTAGTAACATTCTGAATGGTTCTGAGTGATTCGGTACTTAATTACATAAAAGAAAAGGGATATGTGAGCCAGAGGCCGCTTTGTATCCAAATCATGTGCTCCTAAAAATCACTTCAGTGATGAGCGTGTGGCTTAATTGGTAAATTACCTACTTAGAAACCCAAGGCCCCGAGTTCAAACCTCAGTACTGCAAAAAACAAAAAACAAAACAAAACCCCACTGTAGATGGGTTGAATCTGCCTCTTGGTGATGGTGAGAAGTGTAGTGTCATCTGGCAGGATGAAGGAGACGCTGCTGTTCTTTGGATTGTAAAGCTGTTCCCTGAGGGCCACCACCTGCGGTCTGAAGGACCACTGACATTTGGCCTGGAGTGTTTTAGTGAACCATGCTGTCCGTGCTGACTGAGCTCCTTGGAACACAGAGGACTGGACTCAGGCCAGCCCCAGCTGGCATTGTGGATCGAGATTTTTAGATTCTGCACCTGAATGAGATGCTTTAAATAATTTCATGGACAGAAAAGAAAGGCAGATCTATTTTCTTTGAGGCCAAAGCTTAATCTCTGTCACAAAAATGCTCGTGAGATTGCTCAGATGGGGTTTTGTTCACAATAGTGCTCTACTTCAGGGCCAGGAAAATGGTGTCCCCTCCCCCCGCCCCAGGTGTGCGATGGATTTGGATCTTGTGTAGTTGCCATTATGGGGACTGGCACGAGGTTTGACTTGGGAGATGTTTGGAAGAAGTATTGGGAGCTGTAGATATGTGTGGGGGACCGTTTTCTGCCACGGGCTGTTTGAGTATTATAACACCATTTGTGGGCCATAGGAAATTATCAATGCAGGTAGATGGCTGCCGGCAGCCGACCAGATGCTTATGTGACTGTCCATGTACCAGATGATTTTGTGAGCCTTGAATCACCTGTGGGATAGATGTTCTCCACTCTTTGGAGGGATCAGAGAGGGTCAGTGTTTAATTACCTGGGCTAAAGGCATCGAGTGAGTACATGGGCACATTTATGCAGATAATGTGAAAGCCAGATGCTGCACCTAGAAGCTAGGCATGGACAGTTGAAGGCAGTTCATTGTGAACCGAGCACGGGCTAAGCTTGGGTCTGGTGCCGTGCAGAACTGGCAGGCCAGTGTCTGCGTGCAGTGCTCGGGAATGTGAGGGGGCACTGCACCTCCGGTGGCATCTGTCGAGTCAGCAAGTTGAATTCAGGGTTTCTGCTGTATTTGTGTTGATCGGCACATGTGAACTAGAAGCTGCAGCAAATGGGATGGTGCGGAGCCGATGCTTTGTGTTCCATGTACTTCCATGTACTGAGAGGTGCCGCTCACCTCATAAGCCCGTAGCAATGCAGGCCTCACCCCGCACAGTGTCTGCAGGACCGGAATCTCTCTCTGCTCAATAGATGAGCGTCTCAGGCTGTCCTCTGGGCCTCGTGTTCCGCACTCTGTCCTGTTCACTGTTTCCAGATGTTTCTCTTCTGATACACGGATCAGCAGCACCAGGACCCTGGCATTCAGAGGCATCCAACTTGGTGCAAGCTCACACGGTTCACAAGCGCTTCTGATAGGTATACTCAGGGACTTGGGATATCCCCGCCTGTGTGGGAAACAGGTGGCCAAGAGTGATGAGTCTTACAGAGAAGCAGCCATTCAGGAAGCATGAGAGCAGAGGTGTATCTCTGTACAGGGTCCTGCATGCAAAGATGTAACTTGGTGGTTGTTATTTAGTGTTAGAAGCCAGAGGTACACTGGAGAATTACCTACGGGACTTGTAAAAGTTTTTTTAAAAAAGTCCCAGGTTCCCTTCATAGGGCCTGCACAGTGGTGATGGGCACAGGGGTCTGGTGCAAGATCCAGCTCCCCAGAAGGACACGGGTAGAAAGGACACCCAGCCCTGCACATTGGTTCAGGGCGCTGCTGTGGCTGTGGAGTGAGGGCTTGTCGGTGCCGTCACTGGGGAGGGCCCAGGGGAAGGACTCACCAGACTCCATGTACCATTTGTTCCAGAGCTACCTGTGACTCTGTGATTATTTCAAAATCTGAGTTTGGATTTAGCAGGGCAGAGTTGGAGGGGCTGTATATGTCTGCACATACATATGTGTGTGTATGTGTGTGCATGTATTTGTGTATCAGAGGGAGAGAAAGAGGCAAAGAGAAAGAAGGAAATACATAGAGAAACACACACACAGAAAGAGAGAAGGAAATACATAGAAAAACAGAGAGAGAGAGAGAGAGAGAGAGAGAGAGAGAGAGAACAGAAACAGAAACAGAGAAACAGGCAGTCTTCAAGAGATTTACTTCCAGGGACTGGCTAACAGTGTGGGGCTGATGAGCAAGTGTCACATTTGTTGGCAGGGGCGGGAGGGAGCTCTAGTAGACTGGACCACAGGCAGGAGATCTGGAGGGAGTCTTAACCACCTCTGAAGGGCCCCACAGAGGTCAGGCCCACCCAGGATCACTACCTCTTGATAGACTTAGGTGACGATTTGTAAGAGCATCTGTAAAACATCTTCCTGTAGTACTTGGTTTTGTGTGTGTGGCCGAGTCACTGGTACTGTAGCTCAGCCCAGGCACCCTGGAAAGTCACAAGCGAAATGCTGTAGCACTCAGCCTGTATGTGCACACTTGTGACATGGAAAGAAAGAAATAGCGTGTTCAGAAAGTCCAAATCCTACAGGAAGTGAAAGCATCTTTGTCATTTCCCATCTCACTTCTTAAGATGCTTCCAGAAACATTTGCTTGCACACTGGAGCCCATTGGCTGGCACATGCCAGACAAGTGCTCTACCACCAAGCTGAGCCCCTGCACAACTAACTTCATTCTTGATTGTGATGTTGAAGCTTCATACTTTTTGAAAAACTATGCTTGATTTCATTTGAGGTTGATATATATGATCATGTATATGCCAAACCTACCTAAGCTGTTTTTGACTCCTGTTTTGCATATAGGAAGCTGTATAGCTGTGTAGCTGCTGGGTTTCCACCGATTGTAGTAAATAGCTTCTCATGGTTTGGTGGGCATCATAGGTGTCAGCAAAGGACAAGTAGAATGGCAGAGAAGTGACGAGACATTGGGGCAGCAATCAGCTGTGGGTCTGACAATGGGTAGCGTGGAGCCATCTCTTACACCTGTGCGGGAGCAGTTACAGTCATGTGATGGGAGGCTTGATTTTCATGTGTTCACATCACTGAAAAACAGCCCCTGCCCCCAGGAAAGGGTGATACTTTATTCTAAAATAATAAGGACTACATTTCAAGGGCTAGTTCTTTATTTTCCCCAACCTTTCACTACAAAGCATACTTTAGAGATTTTTTTGTGACTGTAAATTGAAAAGTGGAATGAGCATGTGCCTTGAGAGTCTGCTGGGTGGACTCACCGTGTGCACGCCGACCAGTGCTGCCTCTCAGTCTTCACCTGAGCCTGGTTGTTCCTGGGTCATGGCTGGTTCTTTTTCCCCTGGTCCATGCACTTTCCAGGAGGTCCGCAGTTGGGCCATGTGCCTCGACCATCCAGTGTGCTGGTTGCCCCTCTTGCGTGTGGACGGGCGGCCGTGAGCCTTCAGTGGGCTGGAGGCCTCTGTCTGGACTGAGATGGGAAGATGGGAAGGACAGGTGGCTTTCAGGTCACGCACACCTGCTGCTGTGGGTGCGTGTGAGGCGCAGCACAGCTCTTGATACCTCAGCTGGCTTTCCCTCTTCCTGTGATTTGTGTCAGCAGAGTCTCCCAGCCAGCAGGAAGTTGAGCCCTTCTAGAGTCCCCATGACAGTGTGTTCTCACATCTAAACAAAACCACTGCTGCCTGATCCCTCCTCCCCAGTGCAGGCCACTGGGAGTGACTATGTTCAATGACTGATGTGCTCTGACAATGAATGTTGTTGTTTTAAGGTCTTCTTTTTCTTGTGATTCTTTTGTTCCATAGCGTCGTCCCCCAGACTACAGTAATACTCAACAATGATCGGCAGAACGCCATTGTAGCCAAGATGGAAGACCCCTTGAGCAGCAGGGCACCGGATTCCCTGGAAAATATCATTAGCAAGTCAGTAGCCATGCACCATCCTCCCTCCCCCTGCCACTGTGATGTCCCCAAGCCAGGGCACAGAAAACACGTGGCCATCCCTGTCCCTGGGATGGTTCCAGCAGGCTTCACCCAGTTGTGTAGGTGCTCAGGGTGGGCAGGGCAAGGCCACACACACAGGGCGAGTGGCCCGGGGACTGGCAGAGCTGGCGCGTGGTGGAGGGCACGGCGGCGTTTCACAGTGGTCAGCTGATCATCACCATCTGTCATGCCGCTGTGTCAGATACACAGACTCACCTCAGAGTCTGCTGAAGGATGTGAGCATGTTGCATTGTGGCTTTTTTCGTACCCTGTATCTTTTGTAGTGTCTTGGCCAGAAGTGGGAAGGACACAGGCCCTGTCCCAGCCTCTGTCCAGTGGGGAGCCTTTAGCCCAGTGTCTGGGCTCCACTCACCCCAGGGGCTTTGTCACTCTCGTTTCCCATCTGTGTCTCCACCACATCCTGTTTTTGCTTTTGCACTCCACTCTTCTGCAGGTGTTGCTTCTTCGGCTTAGCCCCATTTTCTCAGCCTAGTGTTCTAAGAAGCAGCTGTGATCTTGGGCCTGACACGTGGGGTGAAAGTCGGGGGGGTACCCTGAGGTGAGCCAGGCTCCCTCGGGTTAGCTCTTAGAGGTCGGCTGCTCAGGTTGATTACCGGGAACCAGGTCAGCTTAGACAGATCTCTTCAGGACCCAGTTCGGAAGTGCGGCTTACAGCTTCCACCTCTGGGGTGGGAACAAGTCAAAAACACCCTTTTTGACTTTGTGAACAGGGAACTAGTGCTTTCTCTCTCCAGTGCTTAGTCGGTCATGGTCTGGGCTGTTGACAGGATTATTCAGAAAGCAGGCACAGTCTCTTAAGTGGTCTTTTTGGAGCGTTTCAGTGCAGCTGGCCGCCCTGCCTAGTGGGTAGGGCTCTTCCGCTGCACCTTGCTCTCATTGCTGCACATCAGGGCTGTGGTGAGAAGAGCTGCTGGAGGGGTCCTGGGACGCTCTGCCCGAGGGCCGCAGCAGCCTGTTCCTGGGCTTGCCCTGGGAGTGACGGGAGTGTGAGGGCTTTCTGGAGGCTGAGCCACCCTCTGGGGTCTGACGGGGGTGGGTTGCTCCTGGGGCTCTGTGCCCCCGTCCTCTTCATGTAGTCTTTCTTTGGCATGGCTCTAAAACCTCTTTGGTGCAAGTCAGCATTTTGAGGGATAACGTTGATCTGAAAGCAGGCCCGAGTCCCCGTGACTTATGCTTTCACTTCTTTGGTGATGTAAATTTTTTGTAAACATTTTTTTATCCCATCTCAGCCTCTGAGTGTTTCCATGTTAAGTTGCTTTCATTGTCATAGAGCTGTGTGGGGAGACCCCCGGGTGCACTGGTCCCTGCTCAGTTAGGTGTTGGGAGAAGACCAGCCCAGTGCTGTCCAGGAAGTCAGGACTGACGGTGGCTGCCTTGGCTCACTCTCACACGGGTTGATGTGCTTGTTCCCACCAGTGCTGTTCCTGGGCGTCGGCAGAACACCATCGTGGTGAAGGTGCCAGGTCAAGATGACAGCCACAACGAAGACGGGGAGAGCGGGTCAGAGGCCAGCGACTCTGTGTCCAACTGTGGCCAGCCGGGGAGCCAGAACATCGGGAGCAACGTCACGCTCATCACCTTGAACTCAGAAGGTGTGTTCCCACGGCACCTTCTCCGCTTGGCCAGCCCAGCAACAGGGACAACTTTGTACTTTTAAGCAATGTGGTACAATATAAAAATGCTGAAGGAAGTTAGAATAGCTTGAATTCCAGGAGCTGTTCCTGTCTCCTTGTGTGAGTATTTGTGTGCCTGATGCCATAGAGGAGCACACGTGTCCTATGAGCATTACCAATCCCCTTTGTGTCAAGTTAGGGGCCAGCGATGACATTACAAAGGTACCGAAGTGTTTTACTTAGGAAATTTGTTGGTGATGAAACTCAGTTTGGGTAAGAAAGAAATGACAGTCAGTTGCTGGGCAGGGAACTGTAAGCCTGGTTCTTGTGCTTGCCTTTTGTTAGTGGCTGGGTCCTGGCATCTTGTTGTTGTTGGGTCCTGGTATTTTGTAGGTGGTGAGTTCTGGTATCTTTAATTGGCAGCTGGGTCCTGGTGTTTTTTGTTTTTTGGTTTTTTTTTGGTGGCTAGGTCCTGGAGATTTGGTGGTAGTGGTCCTGGTGTCCTTTGCTGGTGACTAGATCCTGATGTGTTCCTGTCTTTGTGGAGCACCAAGAGTGTGGGTGATCTAATCAGTCAGTAGTTAAGTTGACTGAGTTAAAGATACAAATTAACTAAAATGTGGCAGGAGTGGTATCTCTTAACAGGGATTTAGAGTAACAATTAAAAGTTTAAATTCTAGTTGTTTGGGCATTTGCTAATTGCTACAAAACTTGACTACATATAAAATGTTGCATACTTACTTGTAATGGGGAAGGATTGTACTGCAGACAAGGGTTGATCTAGAATGCTCTTGAGCTCAGCGGCGCACGTGTGCTGAGCAGAGGAGGGCTGGAGCAAAGATCAGCCACCTCATTCTAGAAAACCAGTGGAAGCTGCAGGGTGTTGATGGAACAGAAAGCCATGAAATCGATGAATGACAGTTGCTGTGTTCACTGTTAACCATATACAAGTAAAGGAAGTTTCCAAAAATATTCACTGGACATTTGTTCACGTAACTTGTCTTGCTGAATTGTTCCACGTAGATGCTTGTACGTAAGCACACTTTTGTGGTGCTTGTAAATTGGATGCTAAGAGTAGAATTGGACACAAAGCAGCATGAGGCTGTCAGCAGGTCTCAGGTCTTACTGTGCCTGAAGTGGGCATTGCTACCCAGGATGGGCACCCTGGGCACTGTGTCTGCTCAGCAGCTCATGCTCTTTTCCATTGCAGGACGAGGCAGCTAGTTTGTAATACTTGCCCTAATCGCAATTGAGCTCGTGTCCCTGGATTCACTGATGGCCTCCAATAAAAGACAGAGGCCCCCGTGGCCCTTGCCCCGGGACAGGAGCTGAATTATGCCTTTGCTCAGTTTGTATTCTTGTGACCAGAGCCGATTGGTACCTGCCATGGAGATGAAATCTCCTCAGAGCATCTATAGTCTAGCTGCAGGGTCCAGTGCACATGTTGAGCCAAGCATGGCCTGGTCCTGGAGTAGTACCCTGACCATGATATTTTTTATGGGGCAGTAGTTGTGAATAAGCACAAGAAAGGGTTCAGTGGGTCGCACAGGGAATTCATCTTGTCCACTTTGGTGGAAGACATGAGTTATTTATAGTTGTGATTGATCCATGTGGTGGGGCTGGAAAATTTCTGGACAGTCCCATTCCATTCCTGATAACACAACATCCCTCTCAAGCTGAGCTGGAATGTCAAGTCCACACCACCATAAAAATCAAGGCAGAAATTTCCACTTCATTGAGATTTATACTTAAGGACGTGACTCAGTATCCAGCTAGGAAGCTGAGTCTCTTGGGTTTGTTTGCTTGGACTGGCTGTGAACCGCGATCATCAGATCTTAGCCTCCTGAGTAGCTAGGACTACAGGCATGAGCTCTGGCACTCGGATAAGTTTTCATTTTAATAGGTCTTCCAGACAATTTTTTTTTGAAGACTTAAATGACTGGAATAGAAAGCAGGTTTATTTTTTTTGGTACTCTAAAAATAAATTCCTAGAATCTATTGTTTCAAATGGCAAAATTGGACCAAGACATTTTAGTAAAACAAATAGATCTTTCTGAATTATCAAGAGGTACATTGCATTTCTCAGACATCTGTGTAAGTAGATTTTCTGTCTTGTTTTCTGTGGGGAGACACAATTCAGTGTCACCAGTAAGTGACACGAGTCTGTCTCCCCAGGGTCAGAAGGCATTGTGTCTGAGCATTGAGGAGGATACCACGCTGAGAGTTCCCAGGGTGTCCCCAATCACATGGGGTCCTCCCTGCCCCACTCCGAGGATGGCAGCAGGCCCTGAGCCTCTCTATGTCCAGCAGGGATTTCCTTCTCCAGGTGGCAGTGACTCTCACCTCTGTGGGTTAGACTTGCTGTGGCTGGTGCTCCCCCTCCTCAGCCTTCTTGATTGACAGAGGACCTCACACCCAGTATTCATAGGCTGCTACCTAAAGCAGGAACTCACCATGAGGACTGGCCACATTCACAGTGCCCAAAGGAAAGCAACTCTTGAAAGCTTGTATGTGAACTTGTGGTTGGTGCTGAAAAGGCTCCTCTCTGGTCTGGCAGTGCCAACTGCAGGCCAGGAATCTTAGTTCTCTTTACTTCCTTCTTTTTCCTTTTCTCTTAATAGGGAATTTTAAACACATGGAAAGTTGAGTGCTCAGCAGCACTAAGCTCTTGTCCTGAGTTTACTTTAGAGTAAACATGGAGAGCGTGGCTGGGCTGAATTAGCAGTCTTCTTCCTGGGAAAGGCTACAGGGACCTTTGGCTGTTTTGAGAGCAAAGCTGAGAGGTCCTGCCCACTATTCTTTGCACCTTCCAGTGTCCTGGTGGGGGGTGGCACAGCACCCAATGTCTGTGGGATCAGTGGGCCACACTGGGTCCTTGTACCCCAGTGTTTAATAAAAGGCTCAGCAATACTTGGTGTCACCAAATACCACCTTCTGTTTGACTAGAGGTTCTGTTGAGTTCCACTAGACTATGCTGCTCCAGCCTGGGGCAGCCCTGGCCTTCAGCTTCTTTACTGGACACCACAGGCAGCTGTGTCATTAAGATCTACACCTGACCAGCTTTGGATTCTGAGTGTACATCCATACCAGGTGCATACTTTCCAGAATAAGTGTGTGTGTGTGTGTGTGTGTGTGTGTGTGTGGTATAAGTGTATTTTTATTTGTCAGCCGTGGGGCCTGAACTCAAGGCCTGGGTGCTCTCCCTGAGCTTTTTCTTTTTTCTTTCTTTTTTTTTTTTGCCGGTTGTGGGGACTGAACTCTGGGCCTGGGTGCTGTCCCTCAGCTCTTCAGCTCAAGGTGATCGCTCTACCATTTGAGCCATAGAGCCACTTCCGGCTTTTTCTGCTTATGTGGTGCTGAGAAATCGAACCCAGGGCCTCATGCATGCAAGGCAAGCACTCTACCACTGAGCCACCTTCCCAGCTCCTCCCTGAGCTTTTTCTCTCAAGGCTAGTTCTCTACCACTTGGAGCCACCATGCCATTTCTGGCATGGAGGTAAGAGTCTGACTTTGAACTGCGATCTTCAGATCTCAGCCTCCTGAGTAGCTAGGATTGTAGGCGTAATCCACTGGCACCTGGCTTCAGAAATATTTGTAGATGCCCTTGGACTTTTCTGGGGTGAGCCCGTCTTAGACTTGCTGGAGTCTGTTGTGTTGTTATTATGTTGAGGCAGGGTCTGACTGTGGGCTCACACAGGTCTCACACTTGAGATCTTTTTGTGTCAGCCTCCAAGGGCTGGGTAATACATAATTGTAATGGTGGCTGACTGACTTTCAAGGCAGTGTCTGAGCATGTGTCCAGAGAGCCTTCTTCACTGTGAACCATTGATGTTCCTTAGCAATGATATTCTAACTCATCACTCATTCTAAATTCTAGAAATCAGAGCTGTTAGCTATAGCTGGCTGCTTGGTTCTGGCTCCTACCTCCTGCAGAGATCGTGTCTGTGTGGACAGGGCTTGTGGACTCACCCAGATGTGTTACGGCTCCGGGAACTAGGGGAGGCTTGTCTGCCGGAGGCATAGCATACACATATGGTCAAGGGCCTGCAGGGAAAGCCCCTCGGGTCCCAGAGACCTGGGGGCATTCCAGGCCTGTCCTGTCCTGATGACCAGGCTTAGGGCTCTTATTCTGTTACTGGCAACCTATGAGGCAGTGAGTCAAAGTAGTGTGATTTGCAGTGTTAGAGAAATGGTGTGGCAATGAAGAGGAATGGAGTCGCCATGCTGTGAGCAGGGGGCAGAGTTGTTTCCCACAGATCAGCTCTGAGTTCACTGCTGGGTGGTCTGAGGTGGATTGGAGGGAGCGAGATCTCGTGGGAAAGGCACACTTGTGCTGAGGGCTAGGCAGTGCTGTAGAGTTAGCGCATCCCCGGGGACGCGGTAGACGGCAGCGCACGGGCAGAGTCGAGCTCCCTGTGCCTGCCTTCTCTACACAGAGGGGGCCAGTGGATGGACACTCAGCTGTCCCAGAGACAGGCGTGCTTGGTGTGGCCATCAGACCCGAGAGAAGGCTGCACAGAAAGTCTTGGCCTTGCTCACTCCTGTCTAAGTGAGGGGCAGAGCTGACAGTGACTAGAAGCTGTGAATTTTGCTCTGAGCTCTTGACCTTGGGACTGCAGAGAGACTCTGGTGTCCGGCCCAGAGCTTGCTTGATGTCTTCCTTCCAGACGGGGCTGGCTTGAGCCTGTATGTTCTGGGCAGCCCTTCAGGGTCCCTCAAGGCTTTTGCCACAGCTGGATGCTGGTGACCGTTCCTGAGCTGGGGAGCTTTGAGATGTGTGCAAGGCTTGCCTGCGGTGTTGTTTGCTGAGGCAGAGTTGAAGGCGGTCCAGAGGTAGGAGAACAGTGTGGGTGAGGTCAGCTGCCACCTGCAGTATCTAAGATGGGTTCGCAGGAATGTAGGCTGCCTTTTGGGAGTGATTCACTGTTTCTGCTCTTCGGAGCTCAGTGCTCCCACTTCCCACAGCAGAGGGTTTCTCTGGGCTCCTGGCCTCCGTGTGGACTCTGGGAGCTGATATTGAAGCCCCTCCTGCGCTTTTGCTGCAAGTATTTGAGCCACCCACGCTGTCTTTTGGAACGTGCCTCTGCCCCCTCTGACCCAGGGAGCCTTCTCTGTTTTAGAGGACTACCCCAACGGCACGTGGCTGGGCGACGAGAACAACCCCGAGATGCGCGTGCGCTGCGCCATCATCCCCTCCGACATGCTGCACATCAGCACCAACTGCCGCACGGCCGAGAAGATGGCGCTAACACTGCTGGACTACCTCTTCCACCGCGAGGTGCAGGCTGTGTCCAACCTGTCGGGCCAGGGCAAGCACGGGAAGAAGCAGCTCGACCCGCTCACCATCTACGGGATCCGGTGTAAGTGCACATGTGGCTTGCCACCGGGCTGGGCTGCTGCAGGGCGCTCAGAGCTGAACTGAGCACGGTGCGGGGCACGGATGGGGTGGGGCGGTGGCCTGGGCTGAGCGTTTCCTCTGGGCGGCATTGTCTGCTGCCCCCAATGAGGACACTTGGGAAGGTGCTTCACGCGGACTTTAAAATTCCAGCCTCACTTGTCCTTGGGCTGCTCTTGAGGAAGAGAGACGTGCCGGGTCTCGTACCTCCTGCTGGCCACAGCACGCGTGAGCTGTCCAGCGGCATGATTGGAGTGTTACTTGCTCCTCCTCCCTTCTGAGAGCAGCATCTGTCTTGCCCGCGCCATGCTCATGTCTGACCTGGTTGAGCTGGAGGCCAGTGGAACCTGATCATAGTATCCGCAGAGGCCCTGAAGAGTCACGCTTTCCCAAGCTGGCTGTGGCTACATCATTTCACTGATGGCATTTGCAAAGGATGCAGACTACTCAAACTCCTTGTTAGCACTTACGGCCTGGTGACGGCCCCCTAGTGTCCAGAGCCTTCCACCTTCAGAAGCCATGCAGTGTGGCTTCTGATAAACACGACATAAAGCAGGCAAGGGAAGGCCTTTAGAGGCCTCTGAGGATCGTGCAATCTCCTTAAACAAATACGGTGACAGCTCGAGCTCTCTCCGAGAGGCGGTAGCTCCTGAGGCTGGCTGTGACCTCTGTAAGCAACACGAGGCCCCCTTGTACAGCTATAGTCCAAATGTAAGCAAATAGACACAGCTGTATTCCAGTAAAGTGCTGCCTTCAGAGGCATGCAGCCCACCTGCCCAGCGCTACTGTCCTGTGCAGTGTGCCAGGGAGAGCGGTATGTGGCTAGCCTAGCTCCAGTATGCAGTGCTGTGTGGGAGCTGAAGTCCAGGGAAGCTGTCCTGCCCTTCCAGGGACATGATGAGGACCTGATGTGAAGCTGGAGTGTGGTAGTGGACCCTGATTTGGAGAGGCAGGCACCTTGGAACATCAGTGCTAGGACTGTGGCTTCCTGGGCACAGGTAGGACTTAAGGCTTTTGGAGGTCATGGAGAATGACCTTCAGAGTAGAAGCATATAGGGACAGGGCGCGCTGGTGCTCAGGCGGTCTATGTCAGTGGTGCAGGCTGAGTGCTGGTGCTCAGGGGTCTATGTCAATGGTGCAGGCTGAGTGCTGGTGCTCAGGGGTCTATGTCAATGGTGCAGGCTGGGTTCTGGTGCTCAGGGGTCTGTGTCAGTGGTGCAGGCTGAGTGCTGGTGCTCAGGGGTCTATGTCAGTGGTGCAGGCTGGGTGCTGGTGCTCAGGGGTCTGTGTCAGTGGTGCAGGCTGAGTGCTGGTGCTCAGGGGTCTATGTCAGTGCAGGCTGAGTGCTGGTGCTCAGGGGTCTGTGTCAGTGGTGCAGGCTGAGTGCTGGTGCTCAGGGGTCTACGTCAGTGGTGCAGGCTGAGTGCTGGTGCTCAGGGGTCTATGTCAGTGGTGCAGCCTGGGTTCTGGTGCTCAGGGGGTCTGTGCCAGTTGGTAGAGGGCACTGGTCAGACACAATAGGGCAGTCCCTGTTTTCCCTGGCTCCATCAGACAGCCTGCCTGCCTGTCTTCCTCTGTGCATTTAGAAGGTGTCAGAAGATGTGGGATGCACTATGCGCCTGGCTCCTGTGCTTTCTTCTGGCCTACAGGCTGAGCTCCCTAGGCTGCTGACACAGCAGCTCAGTGCCAACTGGACCTGCCTCCCTGAGCCTCGGGGATGTCCCAGAGCACCGTCTTCCAGAGAGATTGTCTGTTAGAGCAAGTCCCTCGAAGTGTGTGCTCTTCAGTGGTGCGGTCCTGCTGTATCTACACCCACACTGAACTCAGACCCCGGGCCAGTGCCCAGTGAGGCTTCCCCACAGCACCCCGTGGGTGAGGTGAGAGCAGGATTGCCCTTCTAGAAATGGTGGGCTGGTAACAGGGCCAGGTGGAGGGACTGGACACCGTTAGTGCAGACCAGGGCTGTTGCTGTGGACACAGGAGAGGATGAAGTACGGGGATTCTTGAGGCACGAGCAAGGCTTGGCAAAGCGGAAACTTGATAGCTCTCCTGTTCATTGCCTATGGCAGGTCATTTGTTTTCTACGTAGCAATGACTAGTTCACTGTACAAACTCATGAGTCGCACAGAAGGCCCAATGGGAGGCCTGAGATCTTACTGGGAACCTGTGGTCGTCCCCTGGGTCTTCTCGTGGCTGCTCCGTGAGAGGCAGCCTTGCTGTGCATGTGGTGTATGAGCTGAGCACCTTGCTGCAGCTGCTCCCAGCCAGCGGCCAACTTCCTCCTTGCTTTCCAGGCGGATGGGCGCCGGTGCACAGGAGTGGAAGGACCTCTGACGCGGCACACTTAGGTTTACGACATACTGAGCCCCTCAGGAAGGAGGACGGATCACATGGACACCTAAAACCCAGCTACAGAGAGCTGGGAGAAGTGTTGTCCACATGGCTGTCGTCTGTGCCGGTGTAGAGAGGAGTGGGTGAGGCGCTAGAGAGAGACACCTGCTGGGACTACACCATGGCTCTGAGCTTGCAACATGCAAGTGGGTTCCTGGGCTGCAGTCCTGGCAGGGGCCGTGGAAAGGTGGCAGTGGGGACAGGTGCTGCGCCTGTAGCTTCTCTGTCATTGCACAGGGGATGGGACTTTACAGTAGGAAGTAGGAGTACTAAGAGTAGGAAGAAATCCTGCACCTCCATCTAGAAAGCATTGCCCTTGGGCCTTCAGTGGCTGGCTACCGTGTGTGCCCTGCAGTTACACAGAGGCCGAGCTCTGGAGCAGGCTGGTGGGCCGGCTAGGAGATGTCTCTGGGCTCTGGTGCACACACGCTGTTCTACCCGCCCTCCACTGGCTGTGCACACCAGACTTTGCAGCCATGTGGCTGCTCTTGCTGGAGGCATCACCTTGTGGGCAGGCACAGGCTCTCAGGACTGCTCATCTGGGGCTGTGGGTCCTTCTGGCCTCCCTGTACTTGGCTTCCTTGAGGTAGCAGAGGTTTTATCTGAGTCTCTAGGCATTTGGGAGAACATTTGATTAATTTGTACAACTAAAAGGAGTTCCGGGTGCGAAGGCCCTGACGGGCTCTGTGAGGATGGGTGCTTCTTGGCATTTCCTGTCTCATAGAGCACTGTTCCCCTTCTGTCCCCATCGTCACATGGCCATCTTCTCCTTGGAAATCACTGTCTCTTTCTCCTCCTTATAAGGACACCGGTCACTGGAGGGAGAGCCTGCTAGAATGACCTCATCTAAGCTTAATTAATCACATCTGCAAAGACCTTGCTTTGCAGTGAGGTCACCTTCTGAGGCCCTGGGAAGGACATGGTTTTTGAGGGTGGCTGTTCAGAGCACAGGATGCGGCTTGTTCTGACCTTGCGTAGTCAGATGTCAGCTCTCAGCTCAGTCCTCTGCAGTCAAATGGCCGTGCTGAGCGACTGGCATTTATCGGTCATGGTCCCGGCTTTGACCAGAGAGCTGGGGGAGGGTTTGGTTCTCCTGAGCAGGGACCTGGACAGGGATCTAGACGCAGCCTTGGAGGTGGCAGAGAGCAGCTGCAGGAGTGGGGAGAACAGAACAGGGAACAGGACGGCTTTGATGTCGGCCTCTGGAGCACCAGCCAAGAGAGCACATTGGCTCACTTTCCCATCAGAGGGGTTTGGATTCCTGTTGTTCCTCTGAGCCAGCCACTATCATTAAGTCTGTAATTTCAAGAAAGAAGTTGTTGGCACTTAGTTTCCCGCTTTACTTTCTCCTTAAACTTGAGATTACATTGGGAGTGATAGTGTCTCCATTCCTTTGTGACTGATAAATCAAATATGCCACCCACGAGGCGTGAGAGTAGACATTCTATCTATTCCCTTTTATCTGTCCCCTTCCCACAGCGGCCCTCGGGGCTCTGAGCAAGCTTGGGAACCCTTGCATGGTTGGAGCCCTCAGGGTCAGTGGTGGAGTTCTGGAAGAGGGAAGGCAGGCAGCTGTCCTGTGGGACACCCTCCACTAGCAGGCACTGCCCTGCAGCCTGCCCCGGACGGAGAGGAAGCAGGGCAGCTTCCCCCAGCCCAGAGGGCACAGGGAGCGCTTGGCCAAGAGTCGGGGCTGCAGCAGGCCTGAGCTAGTGCTGAGTTCCTTAGGTGTTCAAGGAAGAGTAGCTGGTGGTGTCTGGTCTTGTGCCTTGAGGACTGCAGGTACCCATTGTAGGGTCAAGCTGGGGCAGCCCTGTGAGCAGAGGTCTGCAGAGGAAGCAATGTGTCTTTTCTTGCCTGGTCTCCTGGCCTGGGTGGTCAATAGAAGGTGGGAATTGTTGAGCTGGTTCTTATGCCTGACCCATAATTTGACTTAGACAGATGATGTCTCATTTCTCTGGCTTTTGCCTGAAAATGAATGTGAAGGTAGTGACGTTCTTATTCCATGAGGTTTTTTTAAAAAAAAAAAACAAAAAAAAAAACTTGCATCAAAATATAAGGTGGAGCTCAACGCTGGCTGTCTGTGCTCCAAGGCTGGCAATCTGACCGTTCTGTCACAAACACTGCTGACGGCCCTGGAACTTCGTGACACCTAATGGCATCCGCAGCACGTGTACAGTACTGAGCGATGACTGTGATTGTTTAGAAGTGACCTGAAAGTCTGAGTCCAGAGCTGCTGCTGCCTTTATGTCCTAGGGTGGATGGATGCTGCTGCTGCTACTGCAGAGCGCTCTCTCTCCCGAGCTGCCCTCAGCCTCTCTCCACTGCGCTCCGTCCACTTAGATCACATTATCACCCTGGTCGGCCAAACGTGTCCTGAGCATATGCGCAGAAAAAGTCAAGAAGTGGCTTTCTAAAACAAAAGAAACTCGTGATACTTAATATAGCACTTAAAAAAATAAGCTCTTCTTTGGATTATTACTAGTACTTGGCTCTCAGTAGGAAAGATATTTAGGGCTTAAGCGGTGACTTAACCCTCAGTAGCTGGTCCAAACTCAGTGTTCTTGCTAGTCAAAACAGGAAGTTTTTCAGCTTAGTCTTCTGATTATTGCATTTTGAATTTCTTCCATTTATTTTGCTGTTGATGAAGTTGTGTGAGACAGCTAGACAGGCCATGGGTAGAACGAGAGCGCGTCTTATTTGTGTCTAGGTTACCCCCGGCCGGCCCAGGCCCAGGCCTAGGAAGACGCCCTGTGCTCACAGCATTTATCTGGAATATGTTCCTCCAGGTCACCTTTTCTATAAATTTGGAATCACAGAGTCTGACTGGTATCGGATCAAACAGAGCATCGACTCCAAATGCCGGACAGCATGGCGTCGGAAACAGCGAGGCCAGAGCCTGGCAGTCAAGAGCTTCTCACGCAGAACGCCATCCTCTTCCTCATCCTCATACAGCGCCACAGGTGGGCTCTGGGGTGAGCGGCTGCCTGAGTGTGCACTTGTCCCCACCTGGCTGGTGCTCTGTGACTCCCTGGGGGTTCAGTAGATAGGGGCAGTGGACCGGGCCTTGCATTCTGAGTCCAGTGGGGGCCGAGTTTGTGCAGGACCTTCCTTCCTCTGCCTAGTTATTTCACGCCTGAGAGTCCCGCTGGCTTAACAGCCACAATAATGGTACCAATATTTTTGGCAGTGACTGCAGGTAAGGCTGGGGGAGCACCAGTCGCTGTGCTCTGTGTTCTGAGTTCATGGACTCGCAATCTGAAGTTAGCGGGGCAGACTCTGCAGGCCTGGCCTAGAGATGCTGTTCTCCTGGAGAACTCACTGGGATTGACAGGTGACTGCACACGGCCTCCGATGCAGCACTGTGGAAGGCATTGACAAAAAATGTGGATTAGAATCATCTTTAAGCTCCCACAGGAGCTCCTTGGCAGCAGCTCCTGGAACTTGAGCCTGGCGTGGGGTCGGCTCAGGTCCCGGGGCAGCGTGGGCTGGGCATGCTCTCTTCTCAGTGCAGTCTTTGTCCACGGACTTTGTTCTGGAAGCTACAAATCAGATCACCTGGAGCTCCCTCCAACTTTTTGAGGAGCAAGTTTTCCTCCCGGTGTTTTGGTAGTTATCGGATACGCGGCCGAGCTCTAGTCGAGGTTCCCCGAGGCAAGGCCCACACAGGTTGTGCTCCTGGGGTGGTGCTTTGGGGCTGGAGTGCGGGGAGCGAGCCTTGTCGTGGCGACGTGACCTGGGACTTGAGACGTGTGCTGAGCGCTGTCGGCTGGGCAGCTGACACCCAGGCCAAGCCCCGTTTCCATGACAGTTACATGGCTGTGTGTGGAAGGTGGTTGAAAATTCAAATGTGAACATCTTAATGGTGGCTCTCTAAGTAGTAGAGTTATATGTAGAAATTTTTCTTTATCCCCAAGCGTTACTGTGGCTTTCACATTATTTGAAAACACTGCACTAGTATTATAGTTATTTTTCCCCTGGTATTGGGACTTGAACTTAAGGCCTCACACTGCCCTACCCCCACCCCCACTCCGGTTTTATAGTTTTCAATTTCTGTTTCCAGTTCAGGAGAGCTCTCTGTCATAGCACAGCTGCCTTAGGAACTGGCTATGCAGCTGTTAGACGAAGCAGGGGCTGCAGTTACTTGGGACTCCTCTGGAGGCACAGATTAGGGCACGGAGTGAGGGGCTCCTCGCAGAGCACAGCTGTCTTAGGAGGTGAGGCAGCTTGGCCCTTGCTGAACTGCAGGCTGTGAAGGAGGTGAGGTGAGGCTGAGCGCCACGTGAGGTGACCTGGCAAGCCGCACGGGGCTCCAGCGCAGGTCCACGGTCGGGTTGCTCTGGGGCAGGGCATCAGCCCTGACAGCGGTCAGCGGGTGGTCAGCGTGGAGCTGTGCAGCGGGAGGCCGGGCCACTGCAGACCATGCTCGGTTCAGATTCCAGTTCTAGTACTGGGGAGCCAGTGGCCTGGTACACCGGGCGGCGCCTGTACTGCTGGCCCAGCTCTCCTAGAGAGCTCTAGACATGCAGGGTCATGGCCTAGGTGACCTGCACGTCTGTGGAGTTACACGCGCTACTCCTCCAGCTCAGGTTGCTGTGCCTGTTCACACAGCGCACGGTCTGGTTCAGTTTTACACTTACTAGTGTTTGCTTCTCTTCCACTTACTAGCATCTTCTTTAAGTGAGTGACTCTGACAGAGGTTGCACACTTTGTTTCTCGGTTTTTATAAATGTGTTAGTGCTTTCTCTGAGATACGGTGGCTCCTGTGTTGCTAGCTGCTTGGGAGTCTCAATCAGCCCCTTGTGGCTGTGTGACACGCCTCCAGTGGCCCAGTCCCGGGCAGGCCCTGGGCGCGCGCTGTCTGAGGAGCCCCCGTGGCTGGTTGACAGGGTGGCTTTGATGCAGGACAGGCACCGCATCACCTCTGTGGCTTGACTGATGGACATTTCTCAGAAGTGTGCCCTGCTGTGCCTTGGTGGCAGGGTCTGAGCATGGGGACGGTGCGGCTGCCACCGCCCGCTTCTGTGCACCACATGTTGGACAGGAGTTGAAGGTGAGCATGGTTAGGCACTCGGAGGCGTTTATTTGTCTGGGCTATGACCCTGCCCCTGCCCTGCAGTGGGTCCAGCCTGTGACGGGCTGCCAGCCTGCCATATTCTCTCCAGCCCCCACGCACTCTCTCCAAGGACTCCGCTTTGTAAACTCTGTCTTAATACACAGTGTTCTTGGCTAAAGTCAGCTGGAGCAAAGCAGGTGGTTAGTTAGGGACTCCAGGGATTTTTGTCATTGTCCTTTGTGCATCTGCTCTTGGCTCATTAAAGCTGTTCTGGCATTTGAGGCTAGTTTGCTGACAGAAATAACCCAGGAACATGTAATTAAGCCAGAATTATGTTAATTTGGAATTAGTTGTGATTCCTGCTGGGTTCTTATGTTTACTTTTGAATTATCAACAGACTGGGAACTTCCTCGGTACTCTTAAGATTTAGTATCAAGGCAAGTTTATTTACTTATTGACTGACAGTGTTTATTTAGCCCAGATTGACCTTGAACTTTTGACCCTCCTTCCATTGTCTTTTCAGGCCTGGGATTGCAAGGATGTCCCACTCTACCCTGTGAGGCTAGTCTATTTAAAGATGAATTAGTTACCATCCAATTGAACACAAACCACAAAATCACTAGTTTCAAGAGGATTCTTGAAAGTTAGTTTACTATAGCATCTGTATTGTATTCGGCAGTTGCCAGCACTGTAAACTTTTTCTTGTCCTTCAGTTGGAGGCAGCTGGGTTTTACAACAAGCACTGTAAGTTGGGTGGCGCTAGTGACTCATGACCGTAATGCTCTGGAGGCTGAGGTTTAAGGATCTCTGTTTGAAGCCAGCCAGGCAGGAAAGTCTGTGAGACTCTTATCTCCAGTTAACCACCGAAAAAGCCAGTAGAGCTGTGCTTAAGTGCTAACCTTGAGCAGAGAAGCTCAAGGATAGCTTCTAGGATCTGAGTTTAAGCACCAGGATACCTGCGTGTACATGCTCACGCTCACTCACACGAACACCACGCATCCGTGCACAGTGTGTGAGCTTTCTGGAGAGCATGTGTGCTGTGGTTGGGGCTTACAGTACAGAGGGCTGGTTCTTGAGACCCTTGCCTGCAGGATGCTACTGCTCTCAAACATACTCAGTGGAGCCTGTATGTCACGGCAGCCTGACACCACAGTTAGTGATTAAAATATGTAAAAAGCCTTCTTTAGTAATTCTTTTTTAATTTTTGCATCTTACATATTTCTCCTTCCATTCACATTAACGTCCTGCTTTTCTCAGTTTTATCCTACTGCAATCTATTTATTCCTAATAATTTTTTATTGACTAGTGATCATAATTCCGTACAAAAGTATGTATATGCATTAATTTTTAAGTACTTCTGAGCCTGTAATGTTCTACGTATTTAAGAACAATTTTAAATATCATTATAGTTAAAATTAACATCAAAACAAATGTATCTCGTTTTGATTAAACATAGAAAGCAAAATTTGTTGGATATATGTTTTGAGTGGATGGGGCTATTTCCTAGTTAGATTTTCCTTGGTGAAATATTATGTCCTGCTGGTGTTAAAGAGGATTTAATCCTAACATCACCTATTGTTTGTTTGCACAAATGCTAGCTGAGGTCTCGTGTGCATTTGCTCAGGTCAGTGTGCATGGGAGAGGTTTGTTGGAACAGTGTTGCTGAGTCCTGTAGCTGGCAGGCTCTGAGATCTCACTTGCCCAGAGCTTGCACTAACCAGCCCTACAGGAAAGTGTAGGTCAGCTGACCCAAGCCAGCGTGGGAGTGCAGGGCAAGGATGAGAGGGATGAGGTGGCCTGGCGTTGCTCTGCCTGCCGGGCAGCGCCTGAGTCAGAACCTCTGCCTGCCATGTTCCCACAGAGACCATGATGGGCACCCCACCACCTGCCACCGAGCTCCAGCAGCCTCAGCCTCAGGCCCTGCACTACGCCCTGGCCAATGCACAGCAGGTGCAGATCCACCAGATCGGAGAGGACGGACAAGTCCAAGTAGTATGTACCTTCTTGCTGATGCGCCAGGGACGCGGGAGGGGGTCGCATCGGGGGCTGGGCATGAGTCCCTTACGTTTCACAGACAGACACCAGTTGCCGCATGACCCTGTATTGAAAACCCCTTACAGGACCTCACCAGTCCCTGGTCCCCCATCCTTCTGTGTGCACCACAGGTGCACAGGCCGCATGAGGGGCCCTTCTGTCTGTCCTGAGACAGTTTATAACACAGGTGTCCTTTCACTGAGGAAAGAAGAAGCCATTTCTTTCCAGGAGTGGGAAAGCATGAGCAGCCTTAGTTTCTCCGTCAGCTTTCCCTGGGGTTGTGTAATGTCCAGGCCCTGAGTGGCCAGTCCTGCCTCAGAGTTCCTTTCTGCTGGGGTTGTATAATGTCCAGGCCCTGAGTGGCCAGTCCTGCCTCAGAGTTCCTTTCTGCTGGGGTTGTGTAATGTCCAGGCCCTGAGTGGCCAGTCCTGCCTCAGAGTTCCTTTCTGCTGGGGTTGTGTAATGTCCAGGCCCTGAGTGGCCAGTCCTGCCTCAGAGTTCCTTTCTGCTGGGGTTGTGTAATGTCCAGGCCCTGAGTGGCCAGTCCTGCCTCAGAGTTCCTTTATGCTGGAGTGTCTGTCCTATGGCCGTTATTGCAGTCAGTCCAGCTGGGAGGAGCCATGTCCCCTTACATACTCTGGGCTTTGGTGACAGAGAAGGGAGACTTCTAGAAGCTGTGGGGGGAATGAGGAGTTTTAAGGATACCCTGAAATTTTGTGGCAGTTTTTATCACACCCGTCCACTGGTGTCTTTGAAGACATTAGTCACTATCACACGCACACCCAGGGCTATTTCATGGGGCCAGGTCCTATATTGCAAGAAAGAAATACTGCTCTCACGGGGGATCCCGGGCTTCTGGAAGCACAGGGTGGGCGCATCTAAGATAGAGCTTGGGGTGACGCACGTGTCAGCAGTGGATTTACCAGGTTGCTGAATGTGTGTGGTCAGCACACATACGCAGCCACGTTCGACAAAAGCAGAGTTTGTTCCCAGATCCATTGTGACCAAGAGAGAACTCGAAATAAGAGGAGTATTATTTCATTTAGCCAACTTAAGATTTATAGGAGTTATTTGCCTACATCCATAAACAAATGTGTGTTTTAGCTGGATTCTTTGATTTATTGTGTAAGTAGTCATGTGCTTCCTTGATTAAAAAAAACAGCTTTGGTGTAGTACACACTTGACGCCCCTCCAGCATGCCCCACCAGCATGCCACTTAGCAACACGTGGGAAGCCACGTGAGGAGGGCACAGAGCGCAGCGCCCTTCCTGGGGAGTGTGCGGGAAGTGCCTCTGGCTCCTCTGGTGTGTTTTCTTCTGATGCTTCCTGGTGTCTTCTCTTGTCGCGGATCCCACAGGGCCACCTCCACATTGCCCAGGTGCCTCAAGGGGAGCAGGTGCAGATTACGCAGGACAGCGAGGTGAGCTGGGGATGGGAGGCGGTGCAGCGTGGCCAGGACCACACACCCAGGGCAAGGCAGCCACAGTTGGAGTGGGCTTGAGGGGTGGGCCCCGAGCTTTCTCCAGCATCCCTCCTTCTGGCTTCCTGCTGCTTTAGGGGATGCCTTCCTCGTGTTTCAGCACAACATTCAGCAGCATGTACCACACGCAGAAAGAACAGCTGTCTTGTGTAACAGCGGGAGCAGCTCTCCTTGTTGCCTCCCTGTATGCCGGGGCCGGCTCTTCACGACATGTGTGTGTATGCGCGTGCGCGTGCGCGTGCGCGTGCGCGTGCGCATGTGCATGTGCACTCCTGCCGTGCATTCCTGCGGTGCCTCTGCAGAGGGGTCCCTCTGGGCATCCATGCCAGGGATTTGGTGTGTGTGTTGTCTTCTCACTAATCTAAAATTGTTTCATAAAAAGTTAAATACTCTCATTGGGGTCAGAGTAGATGAAATGGATTCACGTTGTAGGTATGTGTGTGTTTTTAATACAAGAAAAAAATGTCTACAAACTCAGCGTAAGATGTTTTAGTTTGTGGGTTTATAGCTACAAAGCTTAGATTTTATAGAATTAGTGGTTTCTTAGCTATTCCTGAAAGGCATGGGGAAGTTTTCACCCTGCCTACACATGTCATGGAGCTCCCCTTGATCATCTTTCTATTCATTTTGCAGGGCAACCTCCAGATTCATCATGTTGGTCAGGACGGGCAGGTAAGTGCTAGCTACCCTCACTGCACCCCTGCCCAGTGGCCCCCTTCCCTCCAGCCAGTGGGAGGGTGCGATGGACTGGCTTTGCTGTGGGCACACAGGTGCCTGCTGGGCTCTGGAGTCCCGTTTACAGCTGTGGGATCTCATGGCAGTTTTTAACCTCCTAGAGAAACCTCTCCATGCCTGTCATTACCTTCTGTACACTTGCGTGATGTTGCTGGTAGGGTTCATAGGTAGCTGTGCGTAGGATTAGGTGGGCTTTGTTTCTGCTTCTTGATGTCAAACACAAACCCCTTTAGTTTTCCTAACCTGAGAAGAGATGAGCAGCCCTTCATTGAGCCTGATTGGAATTCTGAGCCCAGTGAGGTCCCCAACCTGTGAGCACCCAGGAGGGATTGCCGGGAGGAGGGAGCGTGCTAGTATCTGTGAGCATCGTACCGTGTTGGTCTTTTGAGGACAGTTTCTCTTGGAGAAATTGTTTTCATCTGGGTCTGTGAAGAGAGTCTGGAAGTTTTCCAGTTTTGTAGGAAGTACTTTAGGAAATCGGCGTAAGGATCACACACCCAGAGCCCTCTCATCACTGGTCATTACCACCCAAGAAATGGTGCTTTTTCCTGCTGCATTCTCCTTTGCAAGTCCTGTGTGTGTCCCCATGTGTGCTGCCAGCCAAGGCCCTCAGCTGCTGCCTCTGAGAACACCCAGGACACCAAGGGACAAGAAAATCACAGGGTTCAGGGTGAAGGGACAGACAGACCCTCTCAGGAGGCGCCCTGAGCAGAGGGCTGCGGACTCTACAGAGTCTGTTGAAGGGGAATTTCACAGATTGTAGGACACATGTGGAGGTCAGGTGGGATGCAGCCCTGTTAGTGTGTAAATACAAGATAGTTGCTTTGGAAAGAGCCAGAGAGACAGAACTAAAGAGGATCCACAGTTGTTTCTGCCAAGTGTGTGCTGTTGGTGACAAGGTGAGTGGGAAGTATTTACAGCGGATTGGCTCTGTTTTTGATGGTTTGATGGTTCCTATTTATACTGGTGGTAGAATTTCATCATCGTTAGGAGGAGCCTAGACTTCAGTGCATACGGAAAGCAAGACTCCTTACCGCTGAGAGTCACTTTCTTTCTGTATATCCTGAACAGACTTCTGCTTAGAATTTTAAAAAATCCAGTCGGGCTTGTACGCTGCGTTAGTGTGAAGCTCATGCACCCTGGGTCTGATCCTTTTCCCATAAAGTTGGCCTGAGGTTGGAGACCCCAGCACCCACCCGCAGGGCTGGCAACCCGGGAGCCGCGGCTGTGGCTGCAGACTCGCAGAAGAGCAAAGCAGGCCTTTGCTGATGTCACCGCCTCTGGAGCTGGTGGCCATGATTAACCACTAATTTATGATCCTCCTCGTTGCAAAGTGTCAAATCAATCTACCACCTGATCACTTTTACCTGCAAATATCACTTTCTTCCACCACCGATTCCCATCCTTGCTGTGTGACCTCACACCAGAGAGCACACACCAGCCAGCCCCGTCTCTCAGGACTTCAGGCTGGGCACCTGCTGCTTCAAGGAAGCTCTGCCTTCTGATTGAAGTGAACAGTATGCATTTGCAAGAAGCTGCCTTTTTCTGGTAAATCTGTTAGCTAGTCCTCTCTTGTTTTCTGTTTGTAGACATTCTAGTTTTATCACTTGGCCTGTTTTTAAACCTACCCTGCTCATAATCATAGCTTTGCTTTCCAAACTGAGAAGATAATTGGAAAACAGAATGGTTTTAAAAAACCCTTCTTCCCTCAGCGTTTACAGCCCAGACCTGTGCTGGGGGGTGTCCCCCATCACCTCGCCCTCCCCCCGCCCTCAAGAGGATGGTGCTCTTGACTCTGAGGCTCTTTCCAGCCTGATTTTGCTCCCATTTTCTTGGTCCTAGTGTGAGTGTTGATGTTTGGTTTACTGAAGACTGATGACACACACTTGTTCCAGATTTACAGGAAGAGGTTGAGTTAAAGAATGCTTCCTGGAATTACAACAGCACTTGATGATGTTTATGCCATTGCCTTTGTGAGCCCGTAGATGCATTGCTCTTTGATTGCAGATGTGGGTGGGAGGTGGAGCCTGGGGAGCAGACTTCACCAAGGCCTCTGCAGGACAAGGTCAGCATGGCTCTGCACAGCAGGCACGGAGCTGTGGGTCGAGTGAGGTTGGTGCCATCTGCTCTCAGCCCTGGGCTTCCTCGCTGTGGGCTGTGACCAGCTGGGCACCCTGGTCCCCGAGCAGGGTCCCCCAGAGGTAGGAGGAAGAGCGCCACGCCCACTTTGCTGCTCAGACCTGGACAGGCCAATCTAGTGGGGCGGGTCTCTTGGAGAGAACTTGGGAGGTGCTGTTGATGGCGCTGATTTATTAGGCTGCAGGCAGAGAGGTTCTGCTCCATGTCTGCTCTAAGCTGGGGGTGTGTGGGGACCGGGTAGCTGCCCTGTGCAAGGCTCGGCTGGGCTGGGCTGGCGTGCCAGGTCCTTGGTTCTCTGTGCAGGTTCCCTGTGTGGCCTACCTGGCTCAGGGGCCTCACGGCATGGTTGTGGGTTTGCTGTTTGCCTCTGGGAACGGAGCAGAGTTCTCTCCCACCTTGCATCTGGGCCCATCTGTGAAGAGGGAGGACTAGGGCTTCCCGTCCCTTAGGGCCTATTCCTCACCGGCCTGGGCACACTCTTGACAGCTTGTGCTTCCTTCTGGCACAGCCAAGTGTGGCAAGCCCTGGCTAGGGTAGTTCCAGAAATTATCCTTAAAAAGCACAAACCCAGCTGTATAACCCATCCCCTCGCTGAATGAGATCGGGTGATGGCCCTGGACAGCTGTCTCTGGTCTTGCACCTGTCTGAGGGGCCTAGAAGCCCCTAACAGGCAAAGGAAGGCCTGGGGCTTCCTCTGCCAGAGGCTGTGTGACACAGGGGTGGTGCCGTTTGCCAGGGCGTGCTATTTGGCTGCTCCTTGGCTGTTTGAGCAGGAAGAAGTTCACTTCAGGCTTGAGTGGTGATGTCTGGTCAGGGTGGTATGTACATTTGCAGGACTCTCATTTCTGTCCCTGTTGACTTTCTTGGTACCATCTTCTACAGGTTCTAACACAGAAGAAATTTTCAAGTCAGGCAGGGGCCTAGGAAAAGCTGCACATGGGTTTTGGCTACAAAAGATATTATTTTTTTAAAGCAAGAACTTGGATGAAATGATTGCTTACATTTACATTTTCAGCATTTTAGTTAGTTGGAAGGCGTTTGCTGTTAGCTGAGGCTGCAGCAGCTTTAGAACAACCCAAGACACCGCTGGAGGTCCGGCCTCACTGACCGCTGGTCCCCGTCTCGTGGCCCGGGCCCCCTCTCTTGTGATGCAGATACCCAAGGCAGGGACAGTGGTCCCCGGGGTTGGAGGGTCCCTATTTGGTCCACTGAAAATCATCTTTAAATATAACTTTCAAAGATGAAGTAAGACCCTGTTAGAGGCAAACACTGTTGTACCAGTACCCAGCGCAGTGCAGTCCCTGGGGGCACTTGTGTGAGTAGACAGGATAGCGGCGATTCAAGGTTAGCATTGAGGTAATTGAAGACACTTGGGAACATGCTTCCACTTTCAAAGCTGTTTGGGGATGGAGCCTGTGTCTACGCACGCTCACTCCTGCGTCCCTTGCCCCAGCGGGCAGCAGCACAGTGTGGTGACCGCTGTGTCCCCGTCCCCCGGCCCTCCAGCATCCCTCCCGCTTGCCGGGAGTCAGACTTAGTTCCTGAGGCATCAGACCGCGCTGTAGTGAAACATACTCCATCCACCTGACCCCTGGGTGTCGCCGCGGAGCTGGGTCTGTCAGCCCGAGGTGGAGCTGCTTTAACCAGGGGGACGTTGTTTCTCACACCGCCTGCATGGGCAGTCCAAAGGGGAAAATGGAGTGACTGAACATGCCGAAAAGTCATACCTGAGTCCTGCCCCGATGGCACAGTGATTTAACCTGGAGACCTTTGGGGTTCCGGTGATGTGGCCAGGGGCCCTGCACTGGCAAAGCAGGGGGCACCTTACCTGTAGGGTGCCCTGTGTGGGCCCGCGCTGGGCCTGGGGAGGCCTGCGTCTCAGTGACGCTACCCACTGGAGAGTTTCCGAGAGTGCCCCGTGGGCGCCTGCTCTGCCCCCAGCATTGGGGCACACGCATGCAAATCAGTATGCATTCAGCCAGCAGAAGCCAGCAAAAAGAAAGCCAGTCTTAGCCTGGAAGCTGTTTTCTATCCATAACAAAAGCTGAAGCAGAAGGAAGTCAGTGTAAGTAACTTTCCTTGTTCTGACGTCAGATGAGGTTCTTGAGGTTTCTTGGTGATGGGTTTGCTGTTTTCTAGCAAGTCTGTCACAGGCGAGCAGGGCTTTGGCCACTGGGGGCAGCGGGCCGAGGCAGGGACAGCTACTGGCAGGCGGGGGCAAAGTGCCTTTAAGGCCACTTCTGTGTCATTTATTTTGTTGGCTCTGTGATCTTGGGCAAGTAACTTAGCCTCACTAGCAGCCGTAGAACTAACAATAACAAACAAAATGACAACCATGTCAAGTTCCTATCCCTGTGGCTGGCCCTGACCACCTGTGTTCCTGGTGCTATTGGTCAGATGCCCTGAGGCCCCTAGCTGGCCAGCCCACATAAGCCTGTCCTGTTCTCATTTCCTGCTCAGGTTCAGCCTGAGTGAAGAGCTGTAGTGTCTCCTGTGATATGAAGGTCCTTGTCTAATCCTGAAGCTGCCAGCCATTATCCTTGGCTTTGGTCTTAGCACCCCTGGGAGCTGCCTGGGGGCGGTGTTCTCTGCATGTGTGTGATGGTGCACTCCCGACTCCATCCGTGCCCACACCACTGGCCTTAGCCAGCGGGAGGGCGTGCATGCCACTGTCTTCCTGGCTGACCCCTGCCGCAGCTCCCTGCCCTGCAGAGAGTCTGCAGCTTTGCCAACAGTGCCGGGCACATGGCTCCAGGCTGCCCCAGTATAGGTGTAGCATCTTTTCTTCTTGCTTTGTTTTTGGTGCCAGTCCTAGGGCTTGAACTCAGGGCTTGGGCATTGTCCTTGAGTTTCTTTTGTTCAAGGCTAATAATGCTCTACTTACTACATGAGCCAGAGCTTCATTTCTGGTTTTTTGGGGGATAGTTTTATAAATTGCAAGTAAGAGTCTCATGGACTTACCTGCCCAGGCTGGCTTTGAAAGATCTCATCCTCCTGAGTAGCTAGAGTTACAGGGGTGAGTGCCAGCGCCAGGCAGTGTAGCATGTTTTCGGCTGCTGTCACTTGCCTGCGACAGTGCCTGCTTTTGTCTGCTAATGGTGATTGGTCCATGAACTCACTGAGATGGAAGTCGAGGCAGCCTGTTTGCAAGTGTGAAAGGCTTAGAGATCATTTTATTTTGGTGTTTGTCACGCAAGCGTATGAAGAAGGTTTAGACTGACCTGTCTTCCCTGGGGTATGGGATCTGGGGGCCATCATGGTGTTGAGTGTTTCTCCAGCTCCCCTGGGCCCTCCTGGGCCTTTACCAACAGAACGCTCCCCCACATGCGCTTTGCACACACCTGTGTCTCTGCTTGTTTGAATTCACCTGTGTGTTGGAGCCAGGACTTGCCTCTGTCCTCTCGCAGGGTCCTTCCTGCCTCTGGAAAGCCAACATCTCTGTGTGCTGGCAGTGTGAGGGGTTCCTGGGGGACATAGCAGAATGCACTTGTACACTCTTGTTGGCTGTCACCAAACCACCTGTCCCTTGGCAGTGTGCCATAAAAGCCAGAACCCAAGGCCTTGCTGCTGTGGGTCCTGACAGGGCATGTTGGCCACCAGGCGGCCCTGGCAGTGCTGACCAGCCTGCTCTGTCCCCAGGTGCTGCAGGGCGCTCAGCTGATAGCCGTGGCCTCTTCCGACCCGACCGCAGCAGGCGTGGACGGCTCCTCTCTCCAGGGAAGTGACATCCAGGTGCAGTACGTCCAGCTGGCGCCCGTGAGCGACCACACAGCTGCCGCACAGGTGAGTCCTCGGGCCTCCAGGAGGACGCCTGCGCTCCCGTCTGCACACCGAGCTTGGGGCCTCGACCTCCAGGCAGGAAAGCCACCATGGAGAGGCCTGTGGGGCAGACACAGCCGGGCAGGACGGGGCGGGGGAGGGATTCTGTGGACTCTGCACAGGAAGGGCAGAAGTTATTTGGGCCAGATCCAGATTTCCAGCCTGTCTGTGAGCTTTCTGTCTCATAGAAATGTTTATTTGTAAACCTGGAGACAAAACGCTCTGCCCAGGCCTCCAATTTGGAGTTGCTCCTGGCCGCTGGGCCCTGGTTTCCCAGAGTGCAGCCCTTCCTGTGCAGAGAGGGCACTGGGCCAGCCTCCTGCAGCAGGGCTGCGACGCCCGTGAGGCCTGGGGGTCGAGGCACCTTGCCTCTGTCCGGTGGGGAAACGGCGAAGGCCCAGCTGCGTAGCCCTCGGCGCTGCCCTGGTTTCCAGGCGCTCCCCAGGGTCTTCTTGGCCTGCTTGGCACTGGGGCTGAGAGCACACAACTCTGGCTTCCTGCAGCAGCCTCTGGCCTTCTGTGTCGAGGACTGGGCTTCGCTCCCAGCCGGTGTGGTCAATGCCTCCCAGGGGCCTGTGAGGCCGCGAGGGCTTGGTGCTCCTGGAGCTTCCCAGGCAGGCACTGCGGAGCAGGCGCTGTGGACTTCCTCCTTGAAATGCCTCTGGTATTCTGGGGAAGGATCCCAGCTTGCAAGGGTACCTTGCTGCCAGCCCGGTCGCACCCGGTGCTGATCCCCCTGGCATGGCTCACAGGCCACACTGGAACCCACCGTGGAGCCGCCAGCTCTGACACAAGTTCATCCTCTTTCATTCCTGCCTGGCTGTGCCCAGGGCCTCATGGTGCAGATGATATCTGTACCACATCCTTCCTCCAAAGCCAGAATGGTCTGTCTTCTAGAGAAGCGGGTGCTGAGGGCCTGAGGCCACGGGAGAGCTGCCGTAGCCTCTGCCGCGGAGCCTCTGGGGCTCCTCCCGCCTCCCCCAGCAGATCCCTGCCTCTAGCTTGCCATCCCTGCTCCTGGGCCACGCGAAAGCCCCGGATGATTTCTCCACTGGGGCCACACCAGTGACGGCCAAGATGGAGGAAGAGTGATCTAGTCGTAGGCGGCAATAAGGCTGAGAATATATGTGCAGTCTTTCTAATGTCCGTAGGTCATTGATTCCAACTGGGTCTTCAAGGAAGAATGGTAGCTGCCCAATGAAATGCTTTTTGGAACACTGTGAGTTTTGGGTGGAGGGTGACATGAAACCTGAGATGCTAGGTGAATGTGTCAGCTTAGGAACATGGTATTAACTGACCCCATTTATTCCAGGACACCCTTAAGGTGAGGATGGAACGTTGACAGCAGAGGTGGCCAAGGTGGCCCCAGTTTGCCTAGGGGATGGGTGGAGATGGGCTGGGCTTTGATCAAGTCCAGCACGGCTGCCGAGTGCAGGGTCCCGGTGTCTCATACCAAGGCGGGGTAGCCTTGTGACCCCAGTCTGCTGTGTGCGTGGAGGTCACTGGTGGCTTTATGGCAGGTGAGTGTTCTGGATGTGTGCAGATGGGTATTTTTCTAGAAAAGTTCCTTTATCTCCCTGTTGCAGACAGCCGACGGCCTGCAGCCCACCCTACAGCCCGAAATGCAGCTTGAACACGGAGCAATCCAGATCCAATGAGACAGGTGGCCGAGCCACCAGCACCATGCTGCCTGGGCCCACGCGCCCTGTGCTCGCGCTCTGAGCCAGCCGGCGTCTGTGCGAGGTCTGCGACACGTCTGGGAGCTGCCTCCTCCTGGGGGCAGGGTCCTGGCCGCCCCAGGGCCCCGGCTCTGAGTCGTGCTGCCCACGTCCGGAGGAGAGGCACGGAGTAGAGTACACTCAGAGAAACGAGAACCACAATATTTTGTTTAATGGCTTTTTTTTAATTTGCTATGGTGTTTATAACAAAAAAGAAAATGGGGAAAAAAAAAACAAACGAGTGGAAATGCGGAAGCCTTTGCTGTGCTCTGTTCAGTGGCAGGAAGCAGGCGTTTGCGGGGGTGGGGCGATTGTGCAGGAGAGGAAACTTGCCTACTTTTCTAGGGGAGATGCTCCCATACACTGTAATTATGCATTTTTAATGAAATAAAGTTGTATTTATGACCACGTCCTTCAGTGCCATTGCACCTTGAAGACAGCCCCTCACAAGCAGCTGTTCTGAGATGGGGTGCCCAGGCCTCTGCGCAGGTGGGGCTCCTGCAGCAGGGCTGGTTCCAGCCCGGTGTGAGTTGGGGCCAGAGGTATGGCCAGAGTCCTGGGGGAAGTCCTATCCAAGATCACGCCTTCACAGCTTCAGTGTTTTGAAAGGCAAGGAAAACAGTTGCAAATAGCAGCGTGGGAGGTGGTTTGAATGCCCGGTGACGGGCAGCGTCTGGCCTGCTGCCGCCTCCTCTTCTGGCAGTCTCGTTAGTGGGTGGGGAGACTCCAGTAGAGGAGCTCACTAACTGAGTGCATGGTGCCTGGTGCTTTTTCAAAGCTGCTGTCCAGAGCGCTCTGCTCCCTTCCACCCTGTCCAGCCTCCTGGCACAGCGAGGGGTAGAGGCCAGCACTGGGCAGCTCTCCAAAGTGCCCGGCATAATGAGTTCACTGTCATCCTGGTGGGAGCCTGGCCACCTCTGAGGGTGGGTATGAGAGGAGGGGCCGGCGGCAGAGGTGGGAGGGCTGTGGGAGGTGGGAAAAGGAGTGAGGCACTTTTATTTTTATTTGGTCGGTCATGGGGCCTGAACTCTGGGCCTGGGCGCTGTCCCTCAGCTCTTCAGCTCAAGGCAAGTGCTCTACTGCTTGAGCCACAGTGCCACTTCTGGTTTTCTCGTGGTTTTTTTGGAGATAGTCTCACGGACTTTCCTGCCAGGGCTGGCTTTGAACCAAGATCCTCAGATCTCAGCCTCCTGAATAGCTAGGATTACAGGTGTGAGCCACCGGTGCCCAGCTAGTGATGCATTCTTAAACAACCTATAGGACAAATAAAGAGTGGATGTGGCTGTGTGCTGGTGCTCACACCTGTAACCCTGCTTACTCAGGAGGTTGAGATCTGAGGATCACAGTTCAAAGCCAGCCTGTGAGATTTCTATCTTCAGTTAGCCACCAGAAAGCCGGAAGTAGAGCTGTGCTCAAAGTAGAGACTAGCCTTGAACAGAAAAGCTCAGGGAGGGCTGGGAAGGTGGCTCAGTGGTAGAGCGCTTGCCTTGCATGCCTGTGGCCCTGGGTTCGATTCCTCAGCACCACATAAGCAAAAAGAAAAAAGCCGGAAGTGGCGCTGTGGCTCAAGTGGTAGAGTGCTAGCCTTGAGCTGAAGAGCTGAGGAACAGCGCCCAGGCCCAGAGTTCAGGCCCCACGACCGGACCCAAAAAAAAAAAAAAAGGAAAAGCTCAGGGACAGTGCCCAGGCTGAGTTCAAGCCCCACGACCTACCAAGGGAAAAAAAGTGGGTGTATGCGTGTTTTTAAGGTTTATTTTTAAGTTTAGTGATATAGCCTGATGCTTGCTAGGTGTGCACACCACTGCTAAGCCGTCTCTAGCCCTTTTGTAGGATGTGTGTATGTGTGTGTGCATGCTTCCTTCTACACACATACACATGCACACACACATGCACACACACCACACACATACATCTTTTGCTTAAACTTGGCCTCACACTTTTTTTTTTTTTTTTTGCCATTCAGTCCTGGGGCTTAAACTCTGGGCCTGGGTACTGTCCCTGAGCTTCTTTTGCTCAAAGCTAGCACTCTACCACTTGAACCACAGTGCCACTTCCGGCTTTTCCTGTATATGTGGTGCTGAGGAGTCCAGCCCAGGGCTTCGTGCATGCTAGCAAGCGCGCTACCACTGAGCCACCTGCCCAGCCCACTGTTGCTTTCTTAGCTTTTTCATACATGGCTGATGTTTGACCACTTGAGCCACAGCGCCACTTCCGGCTTTTTGCTGATAAATTGGAGAGAAGAGTCTCCAAATCAATATCCTCAGGTCCCAATCTTCTGAGCAGCTAGACTACAGGTGTGAGCCACTGGTGCCTGGGTTAGGTTGTTTACTTTCTAGTAGACTCTCACTTTCTGCCTGCACACATGCCTGCATTGTGATTTGCTTGCGTGGACCTCTGGTTAAAGCCAGGCGGACAGGCCCACATAACCACACCCAGTTTCTTCCTTTAGATGGAGTCCCAGGGACTGTTCTGCCTGGGCTGGTCTGGAAATGCGATCCTTCCAATGTCAGCCTCTCAAGCTGCCAGGCTTATAGGTATGAGCCACTGGTGCCTCACAAACTGACATGTCAAAGCTTGTGGCCTGCATGGAACAATAAAGGTGCTTACAAGAGGCTTAGAGAAGGGCTGGGAAGGTGGCTCAGTGGTAGAGCGCTTGCCTTGCATGCCTGAGGCCCAACAAGACCTCTGCGTGGCCAGGGAGCGACCACTGTGAGCCCGCCAGTCGCCAAGGGGTAGAACGCACGGTGAAGGGGCGGGGGCCGTGTGCACTGCAGGAGCAGCAGCGGCCGATACGGCCTCCGTGCCTGCATCGCTGCCTGGGGGCGCCAAGCCCGACCCCGGCTCGTGTCAGAACCCCACAGAGCCGGAGGTGGCGGGGGTGGGAAGTGGGGCGGCATGGTGCAGCCGCTTTGTGGGACTGGACTGTGATTGGCATGCTGTTCTGTCATTCTTCAACCTAAAAATGACTGCCACACGCTGGGTGGGCTGCACCAGCCAGCTGTATGTAGGCAGAGGCCTGGGAGGCGGGAGCACACACACGCACGCACGCACGCGCGCGCGCGCGCGCACAAGGAAATGATGTCTCCTAAAGTTGTCACAAGTCAAAACAAGGTGCAGTCATTAGTGTGGGCCTTGCGAGGAGAGCAGTGAGCAGGGCACGGGACTGTGGCCCAGCTCTGGCCTCATCCAGTGAATGCTAGACACGGTGTGACTTCCAAGCTAGCGGAGATTACAATTAGAAAAGCCGCTGCTGGTGAGCACAGGGCAAGGGGCACCGCGCGGGCAGCTCTGTGGGGCAGACGGCTGGTGGAATGCTGAGGGAAAGGCACGAGAAGAACTTGGGCCTGCAGAGGCTCAGGAGAGCAGGCTCTTGGTCAGAGCCGGGTGAGAACTGGGTAACAGGGAACTGGGGCGGACAACTGGTCACTGCTCAGCCAGCAGGAGATGGCTGTCCACGCCCCGCTTCTCCAGCCTGGCGTACATGGCCGGCAGTGGTGACTGGGATGGGGCTCTGAAGGCCCAGGCCTCAGGGACCCCTTCACTTTGGGCGGGGTCCTGGCAGGGCTGCACCCTGAGTTTCTAGATCGCCCTTTAGCTTCCTAGTGTTTCTATTCTTGACACTAGGTTGACGGAGGCTCAGATGCCTGGTGTTGCAGCAAGAGAGATAAAATCACTGTAAAGACAGCATCCAGCAGACAGAGCAATCAAGCCCAAGTGAAGCCCTCCAGCCACAGAGGGCCATGGAAAGAGCACCCAAGCTGGCCCCGAGGCAGCTGTGTGGGCGCCACTTAGAGACGAGGCTGTGTGGAGAGCCTCAGCATGAGTCCACAGCTAGAAAATAGCATCACCAAAAACTGCACAGCTGGAAATGTAGCTGGTGAGCCAGGAGGCAAGGTAGCGGAAAATACCAGAATAACGCACACCCTACCCCGCCACCCCGCCCCAGAGGGAGCTCCCCGCCGGCGCAGGGCCTGCAGAAGGCAGGAGGGGGCACGCCACTTGTGCCGTTTCAGACCCCGAGCAGGTTCAGCAGAGAAGGAAAATGGCAGCGTGGCCCAGCTCGGATAGATGGAGGTAACCATTCAAGACCACATACTAGCGACCGCATCTGGCAGAGCACACACCCTCTCACCACACCCTGGCTGAGCTGCCCCTCATGTAACAGCTTACTACGACAGCCATCCAGACCCTGTGCACTCTCGTCATTACCACATCCGCCTTGGCTTACCCGTCTGGGCGCTCAGAAGTCATCTCAGCAGCAGCTTGGGGTAAAACTCCAGCATCCACTCAAAGTGTTCAGCAGAATAGAAATCACTGTTCACTTAACCACAGGTTTCCCCCCAGACCTGGAGCGCCACTGAGACATCAGGGCCAGGCCCCTGCCCTGCCTGGGCACATGTGTGCACAGAAAGAGAAGGAAATGAGCAGGAGGCCGAGTCCTAGAAAGGAAGATGCAGAACTCATTTGCCGATGTTTCTAGAAAGTTTGAAATAGCTTCCAAAGGTGCAATCTAAAGTTTCTTCCTGAGATTAATTTATTAAAGGTATTAAATCTCAGCAAGGGCTGGAGGCCCAAAAGCAATGAATAAAATGTTAAGAGCATTTCTTTTTTTGGGGGGTGGGGGTCCAGTCGTGGGGCCTGAACTCTGGGCCTGGGCGCTGTCCCTCAGCTCTTCAGCTCAAGTCTAGCCTCTATCACTTGAGCCACAGCGCCACTTCCGGCTTTTTTCTTTTTGCTTATGTGGTGCTGAGGAATCAAACCCAGGGCCTCATGCATGCAGGGCAAGCGCTCTACCACTGAGCCACCTTCCCAGCCTGTTACTGCATTTCTAGCTAGCATCCATCATTTAAAAAAAAAAAAAATCCATCAGCTGGGTACCAGTGGCTCACGCCTGTCATCCTAGCTATCGGAAGGCTGAGATCTGAGGATCACAGTTCAAAGCCAGCCCAGGCAGGAAAGTCCATGACACTCTTATTTCCAATAAACCACCAGAAACCTGGAAGTGGTGCTGTGGCTCAAGTGGTAGAGTGCTTGCCCTGAGCTGAAGAGCTGAGGGACAGCGCCCAAGCCCAGAGTTCAAGCCCCATGACCAGAAAAAAAAAATCCATCAATAAAGTAGCCTGAGCTGGGTGTAGTGGGACATGCCTATAATCAGCCCTTGGGAAACGGAGGCAGGAGTATCTTGTTTGAGGCCAGCCTGGTCACATAGTGAGACCCTCCTTAAAACTATAAAATACAATGGCTTTGACCTAGATAGAAAGTGCATGTGGGGCATTAGCCTCACCCCTCACCCCTTTACACTGTCCCCTCCTTGCTCCACTAAACCCCCTGAGGAGTCAGGAAAGAAACGCCACACCCCTCCCACAGACATTTACCTCTGCCACGGGCCCCCCTCCACCAGCCCCTCCTGCG